TTTCAAGTTTTACATAAAATCTAACTACAAATCTATATAGATTATATTTTGAAAATTTTCACTATATCATTTTATACAATCAGAAAACCTGCACAAATTGTTGGATGCACTCTCTCATTTCCTCTACCACTTCCAAACTCCTCTTCATCTCTTCTTTCTCTCCAAAACACATCTCTATCACCAATCTCTCAATGATTTGTATTGTTTGATTTTTGAATTTCTTATTCGAACATTGACAGAGCGTCTCTCTTCCCCGTAAGTCTTCTCTCTCTCTATTTGCTTTCTTGATTGATTTTTTTTTTATACGTTTTTTAAAAGCAAGAAAAAAAATATATAAATTCTATATAAAGTTGTGAGTTTTTACTTTTCTCTATGAATTCCTTTACCTCTCTTTAGGGCTTAAACCTATAATCTAATATCATATAAATTTATTATATATATTTATTTAAGTTATATTTTTGTAGCATGAAAGGTTAAAATTATCAAATGAATGTTTTTTTTTGTGTTATAATTTAAAATTATTGTATATATTTATTTGATTTATATTTTTGTATTATATTTTTATATGTTTATTAGTTCGAGTTATCGTGTTGTGTTATTTTCGATCCATATCTAGTTCGTATTGTAATTAGCACGAAAGGTTAAAATTATCAAATGAATGTTTCTTTTTTTGTGTTATAATTTAATATAATTTAAAATTGTTATAAATATTTATTTAATTTATACTTTTGTGTTATATTTTTATTATTTCATGTTATTGTATCGTGTCATTTTTTATCCATGTCCGGTTTTGTGTTGTATAAATGTGTCATGTAAAAAATTTCACTATTAACTAACAATATAATAACCAATTTTAAATGGACTCTATTTGAGAATAACTTATTTTTATATATTTTTTATTGTGTATTCGATTTTATCGTTATTAAATAGATTTCTTTTATAGCTGATATTTTAATTTAATTATTGTGATATTAAAAACAATTATCTCGTTATATAAATAAGACAAAATATGCTTAATTATGTATATTGCACTAATCAAATTAATTTTCTTTTACATTTTTTATTTTATGTCGATATTATTGATGTCTTAATATATTTATATTTAATTTTTTTATTTAAATGAAATTATTGATTACAAAATATTTATATTTAATTTAAATTTTATATACCTATAATACAATACGTAGAATAATTCAAAAAAATATTAAAGAAAAAATTAATACTTTACATAATTAATTTATGTATTTTTTTTTTCTAATCTAGTCACAACATATTTGTATTTAATCTTTTAAATAAAATTTGTGTAGATCTATTTAATCATATTTTTATTTTTCAAATAAATATAAAAAAATTTAAATTAAATATTAGAATAATTTTTAGTTTTATATTACTAATTTTCTTTCTAATTTAACTATTATTTTTAATATCAAAATGAGTGTTCATTTTACTATCTTATAATTTAATATATATCATATAAAATCGTTATATAATAATTATACTTTTACAGCACAATAGAACTAAAATTAGCAAAAGAAACAAATAATTTAACTAAATTTATTATACATAAGTATTCAAGTAACACTTTTATAAACGATAAGACTAAGATTATTAAAATAAATAATTAAAACTAAATTTAATATTATTCTTTTGTGACACATATCATAATACAATACACTATGAGTTATAACCAATTCAAAATTTGTATATTATAGAATTTTTCAGTGTTTTATTTTTGTCAGAAAAAAATATTTTGAAAGAAGTGAAATTCATGATTTTTGGTAAATTTGATTAACACAATTAAGGATTTGATTTCAGGTTGAGAATATACTTTTTTTATATAAATTTAAAAGAAATTATTTTTATGAGCCTTTTACATACATCACGCATAATGACAAAAATTTTCATTCAGCCATTAGCAAATCTGTTTTATTTGACTTTCATTGTAAAAATTTTTATACATAAAATATTAAGACTCAAATTAACTTTTCATTTTAAGAATAAATTCCCCACGGGTCACCTAATAATCATATCATATATTATATAATATTAAAAGTAATATGTACTCTCAATTTTTTTTTTCTTTCCTATGTGGCATCTCTCTCTGTTCTCTTTTTTTTTTTTTTTTTTTTTTTTTTTTTTTTATATATATCTCATTTGTGATGCATTACTTTTCTCTCATACTTTTTAAAAATGTCACACTAATATATCTTTATACTTAGTGCTAAAATCTAATATGTAAAAGAATTCTACTTAATTTGAATTACCTATAGAATTAATACTTTGTGAATTAATTTTCTTATATTAAATAATAAAATAAATACTCATTTTGATATTAAAAATAATAATTAAATTGAAGGAGAATTAGTGACATAAAATTAAAATATGTATAAATAGAAGTTATACAAAATTTATTTTAAAAAATAAAATATAAATATGTTGTAGTTGAATTAAAAAGAAAAAATGTAGAATATCCATTCATTTTTTGTAATACAAATATGATTCAAACATATAACTATCGATGTCTAGGGCTGTAAATCTGGTCTATGAGTCCATATCTTCGGTGTGCTTAGCCTGATTAGGCCCGGACCTGAGCTTAACCTGATCCATTGGCCTAGGACATGTGTTCTGAAGCTTAATCCGATCTGTGGCCTGATCCATTGGCCTACTTTAGGCCCACTCAAGGCGTTGGCTCGAGGCTTAGTATCATTTTTGGTAGAAAAAAAAAATGATGAAAAAAATGGTTAGGCCCAACTGTCGGCCCACCTGATGCCAAATACCCCTTAGGTCTGGGCCTAATTTTCTGTCCCTTGGGCTAGCTCGAATTTTGGTGGGAGCCCGTGCGGCCTAACCTGAGCCAGAGTGAACTATTTATATCACTAAAATTGATCCAAAAATAGACATATCAAGTCCAAATACTCTCTAAAGTTGAGTTGATATATATAAGGCCTCGTTTGGCATCCAAGCATTTTAGCCTAAAAGTCAAAAAGTGAATATAAAAAAAAAAAAAAAAATCAAAAAGCCTACCATTTTATCCTACAAACCTATCTACAATTTGAAATCATGTGGTCTATAAAAGCCTACCATCTTATTATTTTAGCCTAAAAATCTAATAGTATTGATGAGAATTGTAACAACCCGACCCTCATATGTGCTTGTGATATATGTTAGTCCTTTTATTCTGTGCTGTTAAATGCCTAAGATGAAACGTGTACAAGAAAATAAGTTCAAGTAACTATGTTGTAATGCCTTGTGGAATGAATTGTATCTGTTAGGAAGGAAATGTATCTGTTACTACTAGAATGATAAAGTAGAAATAGAGGGCCTTAGCGGCTTAATAAGTCAAAATTGATCATATATTTGGAACCAGCATAATTTTTAGGTAATATTAAGCACTTCTGTGAAATTTCAATTTTCGGATGTGTAAACGATTGATTTTCGTCTTATTCCCTTTTTATGGAAATATATATGTGTGTTCTTGGTCATTTGACAAACCAAGGAATTCATAACTCTAAACCTAAGAATTGAAGGGTAGAGAGAGAAGGTCCTCAAGAAGGTTGAGATTTGGGCTTAAGGTATGTAAATGTTGTGTCTAATTTTCATCCACAACCCTTCTTGTCATAATTTATGTGAAGATGTTTCTATAATCATGTACCTAAGAGTTGGGATTGTGGTGTTGTGAGTATGGGAAGTAAATTAGCAAAAATGACCTTACTTTGCATGTTTTGATTCAATTTGAAGTACTTATGAGGCTTTACTCTACTTCTTCAATTGACTTGTTTGAATTCAAGTAAGTGGCATGATTTTTATGTTTATGTATTGAGATGTGAGAACAAGTAGGAACCTTATGAATTGGAGTGAATTTAAGTTGTGTTTCATGATTTGATTTTTACTCAAATGAAACATGTAATTTGATCCTTGTTCACATGTATTCATATGCTTTGAGCTTATATATTAGTAATTTAAAGCTAGATATTTGAGGCCCTAAACATGTCTACAAGAGGAGGAATTGTGCAGAATTTTCGGACTTTTTGGTGCAGAATCGCCGCACGTGCGGGGCCAAAGGCCGCACGTGCGGGAGTCGCTGCCGCACGTGCGGGAAAATGGCAAAATTTTGGACTTCAACACTGCAAAAAAAGCACGTGCGGGGCCTCAATGCCGCACGTGCGGGAGGTGTGCCGCACGTGCGGGAGATCCTAGCCGCACGTGCGGCTCAAGTCAAAAAAGTTGGGATGCTCCGTTTTGCGTGTTGGGTCCTCTAATGTTGTCAAAACATGCAATTTATATTGCTTGAATGTTCGTTAATTCAATCAAAGTAAGTGAACCGAATGTTGATTTAACAAGGATAAAAGGGACTAATGTGATTTTTTGTGTGTGTAGGAAACGCCTCAAAAGGAGGTGCACCGACACAACACAGTGAGTAATAGTACTTTAATGTACCTCTACTCAGTATTTATTTTTATTGACATTGTGGCCCTTGTTGAAAGTATTGTCATATTATGTATTGACGTTGTATCTTGACGTTACGAACTTCACTATCAAACTTGTGTTGGCATGAAATGATATATTTGCTATAAGTGATCCAATACGAAATTGTGGAAACATTGAAAAAGGTTGTGAAGTTGCACACATCTTATGTGAAAGCTTGTGACTAATGAAACGTATCAAGGCAATTATGAACTCGTGAACCAATGTGGCTTAGAGCCATTTGTGAATCAATGTGGCTTGGAGCCATTTGTGAATCAATGTGGCTTAGAGCCATTTGTGTATCAATGTGGCTACGAGCCCTAATGTGAAACTACGTGACCAAGGGTCAATTGTGAATTGTGAATCAATGTGGCCAAGGGCCGATGTGTGAAATGTGAATGATACTATTGTAAGCTTGTGAATCAAAAAGAACCAAAGGGCTATGTGATGGATTGTAAATTATGAACCCAAGGACCCTTTCTGAATGTGTGAAGTTCTTAGGCCAGGGGCCACATTATGACAATTATAAACCGATTATGTTGTCCCAACAAGCTGTACAGAGACAGACTGATTACATGATTTCAGCATTAATTATGTTACAAGCATACCAGTACTATTGTTCACTGAGCTTGGCTCACCCTGTGTTATGCCTGTTTCTGTAGGTGATCAACCAGGAGGTCGATCTTAGATCGGCATCGTCATACTTTTGTCAGCCTAGGCACAGCCAAGCTTGGGGTCGGGACCCTACTTTTGCGGAGTTGCTAGATAATGGCTTACACTTTTGCTATTGGCTTAAGGTATTATGTACTTAATGATTTTGTTATATACCCCACCTCGGGGTTGGATTTGTATATGCCTGTAAATAACTAACTCTCAAATGTATTTTGGCTTTTGGTGTACTTGTCCTATGAAATGTTTATGATCCTGGCATGACTTAGTAGCTCAATGGATGTCATATTTTCTGGTTTATATCACTTATTATTACAGTTTCCGGCCAGGCCCCTCTTTGGAACCAGGTTAAGTGTCCTTTTCTGCTTAGGTCATGCCCAAACTTTTAGGGGCAAGTTAGGGGCGTGACAAGTGGTATCAGAGCACGAGTTGCTATCCCACACACAGATCCATTGAGCCTTAGGATGTCTAGAAAAGACTTAAGCATCATGCATGGCATCCTGAGAATGTATGAAAGATCGATGGCAACGTAGAATGTACTCTGCTAACGCTAACAATTTGAACTTTGTTTGCCGGATATAATTGAATGTTATGTAGGTTATGGTGAGAACAAGGGTAGAAGATTCGGACGAGGCTACCTCGGCACAGTTGGACCGAATGGAAAGAATGATTATGGACATGGCGGAGACCCTAAGGCAACAACAGCAACAACCGCCACCACCACCAGTACCTCCACCTGTAGTACAAGATGTTCATGTTGAGGACCGAACCATCACTCTCACAAAGGAGTTTAAAAAGATGAAACCACCGTCATTTAAGGGGGGAATAAAACCTATGAAAGCTGAAGCATGGGTACTGGGAATAGAGAAATTGTTCGAAGTATTTCCATGTACTGAAGCCCAGAAAGTGCAACTTGCCGCCTTTACTCTTGAAGATGAGGCGCGAAGATGGTGGATGCTTACAAGAACAGTGCATCGGGACTTAACATGGGGTAGATTTCTGGAGCTGTTCTATGATAAGTATTTTCCTCAAAGCATGCGAGATAAGAAGGTGACGGAATTCGAGACTCTTAGACAAGGAAATAAGACTGTTGCAGAGTATGAGGCCCAATTTGCTGAATTAGCTCGGTTTGCACCTCATATGGTAGATACAGACTATAAGAAGGCACGAAAATTTGAAGGGGGATTGCGGGGTGCCATTTTAGACCGGGTCAATATGCTAAAATTACCCACATATGTTGAGGTACTAGAAAGGGCTGTTATCGCAGAAGGAAACCTTGCGGCCCAGAATCGGATTTCCGAGTGGAAAGGGAAGAGACAATACAACCAATGGTCAAAGAGATCCGTTACTCCACCCGCTAAGAAGCACAATTCAGGGAACTTCAGCACCACTACTACTACTCAAAATTCCACTCCGGTGTGTCCAGACTGTGGAAGGCAACATTGAGGAACTTGTCACTGGAAGACAGGAGCATGTTTTAAATGTGGAAAAACGGGACATTTGGTAAGGGATTGCCCACAGTGGGCTCAACAAAAAGGCAATAGATCCGCTACAAGTTCCGCGGGGTCTACACTAACCCCCAATGCGAAGGCGGCTGCCAAACCGAGTAATAACAAAGACACTGCAAGACAAGGTAGGGTGTTCGCTTTGGTTCCCGGTGATGTACAAAATACAGCAACAGTGGTGTCAGGTACATTTACTGTTTATGGTCAATTTGCGCATGTATTGTTTGATTCTGGCTCCACTCACTCTTTTGTGTCGAAACTCTTCGCTCCTAATTTAGATAAAATTGAAGAAAACTTATCTTACATGTTGTGTGTGTCCTCCCCCTTGGGAGAGTCTATGATTTGTGCTACTATATACCTAGCTTGTGAACTTCAACTTGGGGATATTCGGGTGTATGCTAATTTAGTGCCTCTCGATATGACCTATTTTGATGTTATTCTGGGGATGGATTGGCTAAGTGCTTACGGTGCAACTATAAACTGTGTGACTAAGCAAATTAATTTCTATCCTCCGGGACAATCAGAGTCTATGGTTCAAGGACAGGAAGTGATTTCGCCACCTTATCTGATATCTGCCGTGAAGGCTTGCAACTTAATACGAAAAGGTTGTCAGGGGTATTTATGTAGTGTTTTGGAAGGGCAAGGGATGAATGAGAATATTGATGTGATCCCAGTGGTCCGTGAATTTCTGGATGTTTTTCCCGAAGAATTGCCGGGCCAACTAATAGATCGAGAAATCGAGTTTATAATTGAAGTGGCGCCTGGAACCCAACCCATTTCGAAGACACCCTATAGGATGTCACCAGCTGAAATGAAAGAGTTAAAGGTTCAATTACAGGATCTGCTTGACAAGGGATTTATCCGCCAGAGTATATCTCCTTGGGGTGCGCCGGTATTGTTCGTGAAAAAGAAGGACGGAACACTTCGGTTATGTATCGACTATAGGGAACTGAATAAGGTGACAATTAAAAATTAGTACCCCTTACCACGGATAGATGACCTATTTGATCAGTTACAAGGGGCACAAGTTTTCTCAAAAATTGATTTACGGTCTGGTTACCATCAATTGAAAGTTAAAGCCGATGATGTGGAGAAGACAGCTTTTCGAACCCGATACGGTCATTATGAATTTTTGGTTATGCCCTTCGGAGTTACAAACGCACCAACAACATTTATAGATCTAATGAATCGCATCTTCAAGCCCTATCTAGACGAGTTTGTGGTGGTTTTTATTGATGACATCCTTATATACTCGAAGAGTGCAGAAGCTCATGAGAATCATCTTCGCCTAATTCTTCAAACACTCCAGGAGAAGAAACTGTATGCAAAGTTAAAGAAATGTGAATTCTGGCTACAAGAAGTGGCATTTTTGGGGCATGTGGTGACAAAGGAAGGAGTCTCTGTTGATCCACACAAAGTTAAAGCAATTGTGAATTGGCCAACTCCCACTAATGTAACTGAGATACAAAGTTTCATGGGGTTAGTTGGATATTACAGGAGGTTTGTTCAAAATTTCTCCAAAATCGCTGTGCCACTTACCCAACTGACACGAAAAGGAGTTGCATTCGAATGGTCAGAGGAACGGGAATCCGCTTTCCAAGAATTAAAAACAAGATTAACGACAGCACCAGTTCTGGCTTTGCCATCTGGTATCGAAGGATTCGTAATTTACAGTGATGCTTCGCACAAGGGGCTTGGTTGTGTGCTAATGCAAAATGGAAGGGTTATTGCCTATGCTTCTCGACAACTGAAACCCCACAAGAAGAATTATCCCACACACGATCTCGAATTAGCGGCAGTAGTTTTTGCTTTGAAAATATGGCGGCACTATCTTTATGGTACAACCTGCGAAGTTTACACTGATCATAAAAGCCTCAAGTACCTGTTTACCCAGAAAGAGTTGAACATGCGACAACGGCGGTGGCTTGAGTTGATTAAGGATTATGACTTGCAGATCCAATATCATCCTGGTAAAGCTAACATGGTGGCAGATGCACTTAGTCGGAAGAATATGGGGGATTTGGCAAATCTGTTGGTAGAAAGAAAAGAGTTGAGGATCGAACTGGATAAAATGAATATGGACCTGGTGGTACGTGAACAGGAGGCCATACTAGCAGCAGTAAGAGCTCAACCCACCTTGCTAGAAGAGATTAAGTTACATCAACTGGAAGACGAGACTTTAAGGAAAATCTACGAAGAGTTAGAGGCAAAACCAACATCGGGATTCAGTTACGTAGATTCGGTACTAAAGTTTCAAAGTCGAATATGCGTCCCCAATGTGTTGGAGCTTAAACGGAAGTTGCTAGGAGAAGCACATGCCTCGAGATCATCAATACACCCGGGAAGTACTAAAATGTACCGAGACTTAAAACAAAATTTTTGGTGGCCAAATATGAAAAAGGAGATTGCGGAATTTGTTTCTAAGTGTCTACAATGTCAATAAGTAAAAGCGGAACATCAAAGACCAGCAGGATTATTACAACCCCTTCCAATCTCGGAATGGAAATGGGAGCATTTGACCATGGATTTCGTTGTGGGGTTACCGAGGACTCCTCGAGGTATGAATTCGATTTGGGTCATTGTAGACCGATTAACCAAGTCTGCTCACTTCTTGCCTGTGAAGACTCAATATAATGCGGATAAGCTGGCAGTACTGTATATAAATGAAATTGTAAGGCTTCATGGTGTTCCAGTGTCAATTGTGTCAGATAGGGATCCCAAATTTGTTTAAAGATTTTGGCAAAGTTTACAGGAGGCTATGGGTACCGAACTTGCGTTCAGCACCGCTTTTCACCCTCAAACTGATGGTCAATCCGAGAGAACCATACAAACTTTAGAAGATATGCTCCGATTGTGTGTATTGGATTTTCAAGGAAGTTGGGAAACCCATCTACCGCTGATAGAGTTCGCCTACAATAACAGTTACCATTCGAGCATTGAGATGGCACCTTATGAAGCTCTATATGGAAGACCGTGTCGTTCCCCTGTATGTTGGGCTGAAGTTGGGGATAGGGCATTGTTGGGTCCTGAAATTGTGCAACTAACAACTGAAAAGGTTAAAATTATCCGGGAGAGGTTAAAAACGGCACAAAGCAGGCAGAAGAGCTATGCAGATAACAGACGAAGGGATTTGGAATTTGAAGTGGGTAGTTATGTGTTCGTGAAAGTCACCCTGTTAAAGGGACATCCGAGATTTGGGAAAAAGGGTAAATTAACACCCTGGTATGTTGGCCCTTTCCAAATTCTAGAAAGAGTGGGTTTGGTAGCTTACCGAGTGGCTCTTCCGCCGAGTATGAGTCAAATACATAATGTGTTCCATGTTTCCATGCTTCGAGGATACCTATCAGATCCATCTCATGTCATAGACTATCACCAACTTGTGTTAGATGATAAGTTAAGCTATGAAGAAAGACCACTTCGAATTTTGGAGCGACAAGTAAAGCAATTGGGCAATCGGGAAATTCCAATGGTAAAGGTAGAGTGGCAAGAACATTATGGCACTGAAGCTACTTGGGAAAAAGAGGAGGATATGCAGCAACAGTATCAATATCTGTTTCCGTTTTGAGGTAAAAGCAAGTTTGAGGGACCAAACTTTTTTAAGGGGGGGAGAGTGTAACAACCCGACCCTCATATGTGCTTGTGATATATGTTAGTCCTTTATTCTGTGCTGTTAAATGCCTAAGATGAAACTGTACAAGAAAATAAGTTCAAGTAACTATGTTGTAATGCCTTGTGGAATGAATTGTATCTGTTAGGAAGGAAATGTATCTGTTACTACTAGAATGATAAAGTAGAAATAGAGGGCCTTAGCGGCTTAATAAGTCAAAATTGATCATATATTTGGAACCAGCATAATTTTTAGGTAATATTAAGCACTTCTGTGAAATTTCAATTTTCGGATGTGTAAACGATTGATTTTCGTCTTATTCCCTTTTTATGGAAATATATATGTGTGTTCTTGGTCATTTGACAAACCAAGGAATTCATAACTCTAAACCTAAGAATTGAAGGGTAGAGAGAGAAGGTCCTCAAGAAGGTTGAGATTTGGGCTTAAGGTATGTAAATGTTTGTCTAATTTTCATCCACAACCCTTCTTGTCATAATTTATGTGAAGATGTTTCTATAATCATGTACCTAAGAGTTGGGATTGTGGTGTTGTGAGTATGGGAAGTAAATTAGCAAAATAACCTTACTTTGCATGTTTTGATTCAATTTGAAGTACCTATGAGGCTTTACTCTACTTCTTCAATTGACTTGTTTGAATTCAAGTAAGTGGCATGATTTTATGTTTATGTATTGAGATGTGAGAACAAGTAGGAACCTTATGAATTGGAGTGAATTTAAGTTGTGGTTTCATGATTTGATTTTTACTCAAATGAAACATGTAATTTGATCCTTGTTCACATGTATTCATATGCTTTGAGCTTATATATTAGTAATTTAAAGCTAGATATTTGAGGCCCTAAACATGTCTACAAGAGGAGGAATTGTGCAAAATTTTCAGACTTTTTGGTGCAGAATCCCCGCACGTGCGGGCCTAAGGCCGCACGTGCGGGAACCTCAGCCGCACGTGCGGGAGTCATTGCCGTATGTGCGGGAAAATGGCAAAATTTTGGACTTCAACACTGCAAAAAAAGCACGTGTGGGGCCTCAATGCCGCACGTGCGGGAGGTGTGCCGCACGTGCGGGAGATCCTAGCCGCACGTGCGGCTCAAGTCGGAAAAGTTGGGATGCTCCCTTTTGCGTGTTGGGTCCTCTAATGTTGTCAAAACCTGCAATTTATATTGCTTGAATGTTCGTTAATTCAATCAAAGTAAGTGAACCGAATGTTGATTTAACAAGGATAAAAGGGACTAATGTGATTTTTCGTGTGTGTAGGAAACGCCTCAAAAGGAAGTGCACCGACACAACACAGTGAGTAATAGTACTTCAATGTACCTCTACTCAGTATTTATTTTTATTGACGTTGTGACCCTTGTTGAAAGTATTGTCATATTATGTATTGACGTTATATCTTGACGTTACGAACTTCACTATCAAACTTGTGTTGGCCTGAAATGATATATTTGCTATAAGTGATCCAATACGAAATTGTGGAAACATTGAAAAAGGTTGTGAAGTTGCACACATCTTATGTGAAAGCTTGTGACTAATGAAACGTATTAAGGCAATTGTGAACTCGTGAACCAATGTGGCTTAGAGCCATTTGTGAATCAATGTGGCTTGGAGCCATTTGTGAATCAATGTGGCTTAGAGCCATTTGTGTATCAATGTGGCTACGAGCCCTAATGTGAAACTATGTGACCAAGGGTCAATTGTGAATTGTGAATCAATGTGGACAAGGGCCATTTGTGAACAATGAAATTATGAGGCCAAGGGCCGATGTGTGAAATGTGAATGATACTATTGTAAGCTTGTGAATCAAAAAGAACCAAAGGGCTATGTGATGGATTGTAAATTATGAACCCAAGGACCCTTTCTGAATGTGTGAAGTTCTTAGGCCAGGGGCCACATTATGACAATTATAAACCGATTATGTTGTCCCAACAAGCTGTACAGAGACAGACTGATTACATGATTTCAGCATTAATTATGTTACAGGCATACCAGTACTATTGTTCACTGAGCTTGGCTCACCCTGTGTTATGCCTGTTTCTGTAGGTGATCAACCAGGAGGTCGATCTTAGCTCGGCATCGTCATACTTTTGTTAGCCTAGGCACAACCAAGCTTGGGGTCGAGACCCTACTTTTGCGGAGTTGCTAGATAATGGCTTACACTTTTGCTATTGGCTTAAGTTATTATGTACTTAATGATTTTGTTATATACCCCACCTCGGGGTTGGATTTGTATATGCCTGTAAATAACTAACTCTCAAATGTATTTTGGCTTTTGGTGTACTTGTCCTATGAAATGTTTATGATCCTGGCATGACTTAGTAGCTCAATGGATGTCATATTTTCTGGTTTATATCACTTATTATTACAGCTTCCGGTCAGGCCCCTTTTTGGAACCAGGTTAAGTGTCCTTTTCTGCTTAGGTCATGCCCAAACTTTTAGGGGCAAGTTAGGGGCGTGACAAGAATTTTTTCAAAATAAAAAAATGCTCAAGTCCCATAATGTGTCTTCATGTTTTCCTAACAATCTATTGACTCCCACAGCCAAACAGCAAGCTGTCGCGTCAGCACATTATTTCACCTACAAGTGAGTACAAATTCACGGTCAAAATTGTCAATTTACGTATTTTTTTATTTTATAAATTATTTCATTTCACTTTTTTTTGTAAAACGTTAAAAAATTATTTTCAAACATACTAGTCTTTTTTTACCGCATATTTTAGTCAAAAAATCAAAAAAATTATTAAAATAGCATGTTCTCAAATGAGGCCTAAGTATTCAAGTAATACTTTTATACCATTTTTTAAAATTAAAAAAAAAACTTTTAATAGAATGGATTTTTATTGATAAATCCTATTTAGAAGTATTATACCCCAAGAAGTTCATGAAGGAATTTTTTAATCCACTTAGTCCCATGTATTTATACTTTTATTCCGTAAAGTCATTTTTCTTGATTTACAGTATTTTCTTAGGCTCTTATACCCTTAAATTTAATATTGATACTTAATGTTGGGGGAGGAGAGAGAAGGGAAAGGACAAAGGCATAGGAAATTTCATACACAAATTAAATAATATTGATGTTATTATTTATATATGTGAATATATTTTTAATTAACAATACATTAAAAATAATGTAAACATTCTCTCTCATCTGATGTGAATATATTTTTAATTGACAACACATTAAAAATAATGTGAACATTCCCTCTCATTTGATGTGAACGTTCACAATACCTTTTTGAAAAATTATCTCTCATCTAATGTAGTGATGTGAACGTTCACAACATATGAACCTTCTTATTTTTTAATTGACAACACATTAAAAATAACGTTCATTATATTTTTAATTGACAACACATTCTTATTCATAACATGTAATGATGTGAACATTCACAACATGTAGATATTTTCTCTCATCTAATGTAGTGATGTGAATGTTCGCATTCGTATGTTTTAGTATAAATATTCACATCATATAATTGACAACACAGTGACAAAAATTCATTTCAAATTAATGTGAATATTCATTACAATTACATGATGTGAATATTCACATCATGTAATTGACAACACGATAACAAAAATTTATTTCAAATTAATATAAATATAATGACAGTCAACATCTTGATGTATGAGAATTACCAAAACATAATGACAATCAACATTAAATATCAACATTAATAGGGGTAGGAGAGATTGAGGGTGTTTGGTCTTCTTACCTCAAATAGGATCTAATTGAATAGAATTTTTTGAAAGAGAATTTATCAAAAAAAACCCCTTTATAGAATGATAAACTAAGATTGTCAAAATAAATAAGCAAAATCACACTTCAATTTTAAATTAAAATTAAAATTATTCTTTTTTAACACATACAGCATAATATAAAATATTATTTAAATAAAAAAAATAGCTTATGCAATCTGATCACCTGTTAGTTTTGGCTTCTTTCAAGTTGTCATCTTAATTTGAGAGAACGTTTAGGGTTGGTAGATCCATTTTGAAATCGATTTAGGTGATTCAAACAATTCACTTTTTAGGATTGATTGAGTAGAATATTCATGTAAAAAATTAAGATGATTGAATAACTGTAACTATATGTTTGAATCATGTTTATTTTTAAAAAATATATGACAAATATAATTTCAAGAATAGCCATTTATTTTTTATAATACAAATCTTATTCAAACGTATAACAATTAATAACCAATCATTTTAATATTTTACATAAATATTCTGCTTGAGAAGTCAAACTTTTTTCCTTTCAATGATAGATCATGCCACATCAGTTTGAATCACAAACCACGACACATACAACATGAGCAATACTAAAATCCAAATATAAAATTTTAGAAAATACATCAATAGTTTAGATTTACTTAAGGTATGGACTTACAACATTAACTTTAAATATCAACTATAGATTTGATATTCCTATCATTTTTAAATAAATTACACTTTGCCCCTTTATATTAGATCACTTTCCCACTTTGACCTTAAAATTTATTTTTCTTCACTTTAACCCTTTATATTTCAATTTTTTCTCAATTTACTCCAAAAATTAATTTATATTCAAACTTAGATAGAAAACATCATAACAACTGTCACATAATATAAAAAAATATATCATTATATTAGAGTTTAACTTTATATTAGAGATGTAAGTTATATATAATAAAATATTTTTATAACACGTGATTGTTAATATGTCATTTTTTGTATAATTTTTAACAAAAATTAACTTTAAGAATAAATTAAGAAAAGCTTGAAGCATGAAAGGTCAAAGTGAGAAAAAATAAACTTTAAGGGTCAAAGTGAAAAAGTAATCAAACAAAGGGGCAAAATGTAATTTATCCATTTTTTATTGTTCCCTTTCTCAGACCATAGAATTATTGATATAACGTAGTTTCCAATTGATGGGTACTCAATTTCTGTTTTCCGAAGAAGACTCATCTGAGATCAGAAAGTTGCAATTAATCCTTATCAATATATATTATTGCAACTTTATTTTAAAAAAAAAAATTGCCAAACTAAGTCCTATAATTGTTAATCTACCTATATTGTACTATTATTAAGTGAACAGTGTAATCAAGTTTTAAATCTAAAATCTTGAATTTCATTAAGAACATGCTTTTACTTAAACTACAACAAAATGGTTCTTTAATGACAAAATCACTTCGTCTCCAATAGTGAAATTTTCGTCACCAAATTGATCCGTGACGAAATAATTTCGTCACCACGTTCGTCATCAATTCGTCGTCACTAAAAGTACCTGATGACGAAAATTTATTTTGTCACCTATTATTGGTATTTGGTGACGAAATATTTTGTCACTAAATGTTAAATATTGTCACCTATAACGTCCATTTCGTCTCTAGAATTAAATAAAATTTTATTATATTTGTTTTGGGTGACAAAATATTTTGTCTTTAAAAATAGACATAGAATTTTTAGTGACGAAAATATCGTCACCAAAAGATGGGAAAAAAAAGACCCTTCAGTGACGAAAACTTTTGTCAACAAATATTTTAATTTAGTGATGAAATAATGAAAATATGTGACGAAATTATTTATTGGGATTAGAAAGTTTTAGTGTCAATTTTTTTTTCGTCGCCAATAATAAATAAATTTTAAAAATTGGGAGGGAGGGGGTTATATTTGCAATTGATATATTTTTTTCAATAAACAATACCTGTACATTTTAATAATCTATTAAATAAAATATCTAATACAAATCAATATAAAATTAAACTGTTCATTATCATCAAACAACCCAAGCAAAATACATGTCTCATAGTATCAAGAAATTAATATATAACATCCAAACTATAACATCTATTCTATTAAAATAAAAAGTTACAACACAATCAAAATAACTTTTGCATTTTAATAACCTGCTGAATATAATATCCATTACAAATCATTACAAAAATCTGTTCATTTGGTAATAGCAACAAAAACCTGTTCATTTTAATCTATTCAGTAAAATATCAACAAAAAGATAAGATCCATCACAATATAATCATAACCCACAACAACATAGTCAAAATACATGTTTGATAATATCAACAAAAAGTACAACTACCCTGGGATGGATGTGTGTAATATCAACAAAAAAACTCTTGCTATGTAGGTTACCAAATTCGTTCATCTCCAATCTGCCATTTAAAAAAAAAAAAAAAAAACAACAATAACAACAAAAGGTTAAGGTAACCATTCACTAAATATGTTAATATGCAACCTAGAGGAGAAAAAATAAAAATTTCAAAGTAAAAATTTCAAAGAGAGTAGTCCTTTCACACAATCTATCCCTATAGACTGTTTGGATTGCACCTTACATCAATTTCAAACAGTCAACTTTAAAGTAAGAAAAAGCACTCAAAAGCTTATGATGTGGATTTTACAAAAGGGAAATGATAAACTTCTACTTAATTTGTTGTACAGGAATCAAAGTCATCATCACTAATTGGCAAGAGGTACTACAAGGCAACTGCCATTGAATAACACAATTCAAAATATTCTCAAGGATTTATATCGTAGAAGATACAAGACATAAGGGCCTTGGTATGATTATAATACTACAAAGCAGTGAATAGTAGAAACCTAACACAGTTTGAATGAACAAAAGAAAGCATTATCTACCTAAATGTTGAAAGGATTTGCAGAGCAACAGCTACTGAATAAGTCAAATTAGAACAATCAACTCATAGATTATATACAGGAAACTACATATGGGTGCCATGTTGTAATCATAATAATCGCGGAAAAACTATTCTTTAATTAAGAAAACAAAAGAAAAAAAAAATTGTTATTTTAATCAAATAAAAGCTGCTTGGTCTAAGGTAGCAAAATTTAAGAACCCTGATATAAATCAAATTTGTTCAAATTATTTAAATTTTCTCAAAAACAAAAGGTAAAAGTTTATTGCTATTTTTTAGACAAGAATAATATATTCACTATAACCAAATCTCATAAATAAAAAGGAAGCGATGTATGTACTTAAGGCAGTGTGTGCTATTTGCATTGATGTAGACAGTCTGCTTATTTGATATAAAACTAAGTTTGCAAGACATAATAAGATAAATTCTTGTGACAAAAAATAACAATAATAATAATTCAGCAAAAACAAACGGCCCTTTGTTTATTTGCTCATTCTTGTGTTCATACATGAAGATCCAGTGATACAACTACTTTCACTTTATGAAAAAAGATTCGAGGCATATTAGATTTTTCAGCATAAGACAAATCTTACTACAATGGGCACATCGGACATAAAGTTTAAACTAGTAAACCATGGATTCCATGCTAGCAGATACAAACCAAAAAAGGCAGGCAAACACACATTGAAACCGACGTGTCTAAAATATTCATAAGAGGCCATTCAAAAATGAGATTTCCGAGCGTCTCAGAGCATGAAAGCTCTCTCAACCATTCCAACAATTGCACATTCTAAACAACTTCTTAGGAAAAGTAAATAAAAAGGATATGTTGATATCATTTTCAAAATGTTTCCAAAAAATGTATGCAGGGAAGTTTTCTGAGAACACCCCTTTTGTAGGAAACACTTTTTAACTGTTTCTGAATTTTCAGAAACTGTTTATGCACAAAAATGAAAATAGTATGAACATGATGGGAGTTTCCGAACTTTTCATTGTTCTTATTTCCAAAAACCCAACCAAAAACAAAACAAAAAATCTGTAAATGGCACCAAATAGGGTATGATTTGGGTACTGATAATTGAGATGTTGATTTGGGAACATGTTTCTCCAGTTTCTTCTTCTTCTGTTCTTTTGGGTCAACATCAGATGGTAAGCATTTATTTTATAGTCTTTATTTCCTAAAAAAGAAAATGACCAAAATTGGCATGGGTTTAATTAGATATTTTAAGCATTAATTTCATCAAGAAAATATCCCTTCATAATAAGACTGAATTTCCAAATTATCCCACTAACAACTAGAAGATGGGACAAAGCTGTGGTCCAAAATTTCATATTCCAAAAAAACATGGAAACAGTGATAAAACAATGATCAAATTCAATGGTTTTTTACAGCCATCTGGGATGAACAGATAGACTGATATTGACAATTTAAAATAATTCACCTAGTCAGTTACCTTTTCCTCCTCTCGCTTGCGTTCCTTTTCTTTTGCCTTTTCCAGCAAGTGCACAAGGTGTTCCTCAAAGACCTCCTTGGCAAAACTATCTTCTCCAATTGATCTTAAGTCAAGACCAAGACAGAAAAAATGAAACCAAAGGAATTTAGGGTAGTCAATACTAAAGAACAATGATTTCCAATAAATAATGTACAATATCTTTATACAAAGAAAATAGAAAAGCAAAATACCTGTACTCTGAGCTTTTCTCAAAGAGTTGTTTGCTTTCCTCCCAAATAGAAGATGCAGTGATTTCCTGCGATGTCACAAAAACAAACCAAGTTGGATACAATGGCCCTGACTCCTGTGAAACCTTTAGACAATCATTGCACAATAGGATTTGTGACCCACATCATTAACACTCCCCTATACCTTGATGGTGGACAAAAGATCAGTGAAATCTTTGGCAAAACGTTGACGCTTTTTAGCTTCTTTCTCCTCCTTTTCTCTAGCTCTCTCAAGTAGATCCTCAAACACAAGCTGCATACAAGTACAACATTAGAGGTTCTAGAAAATGTGAAATATTCATAACTTAATAAGAATCTCTGTAAATCTCAAGTAAGGCAGAACCAGTGTCTGTTTAAAGCAATCAATAACATGTTTGTACGAATTCATAACATAGATGTAAATAAACCAATTAAATTGGACATCAACAATAGTCTTGGCAGTAATTGAAACCTTCATAGATACATACTAGTGATACCAAAATAGAAGCCATCAAAAAAAATAAAAAAATAAATTAAATTTAACAACATCAATTCCAAAAACAATTGAAGTTAAGAGACTTGGTAAATTGACATTATTAAGTCCCATTTAAACATTCATAACAAGCATCCAAGTTAAAAACTAAACCCCAAATTAAAAAGCCCCAAATTTTGAAATTGAAAAACCCTAAACCCTAATTTTCAAATTGAAAAGCCTCAAATCAAAACTCAAAACCCTAGTATCTAAACATGCACCTGAAATTGGACGGTCGGAGGGAGAGGTGCGAGAGCTCCGGTCAGAGGGAGAGGTGAGACGACTCCATTTGCTTCGTTCGCGGGTCTTCGTCGACCGGAGGGAGAAGCGAAAATGAACCAGGCTGCGAAGGAGGTAACTACGAAGGACTGCTCGAGCGACGCAATGGCTGTCACGAGCGAAGCAATGGTTGTTGCTCCAAAGGACTGCTCTTCTCTCCGTCTGTCTTCCCTCTATCTCTTCGTCTTCTCTCTCTCTCGAACACATCTCCCTGCTAGTTGTTCTCTATTTTTCCTTTTTCTTGTTTTTGTTTTTTCTTTGTTTTGTTTTTGTTTTTTGTTTTTTGTTTTTTTTGGGACAGGGAGTAGAAATTTAGGCAAGAAGAAATTTTAATTTAGGAAAATTTTTGGACGGCTTGTTTCAAATATTGAAAAGAAATTTGAGATAAAATTTTGAAGTGAAAATTGGTTTTAATTTATATATTTTTTTAAGTTTTGTTATTGATGTTTGTAATTTTACCTTTATTAAAGTTTAATTAATATTTTAAATAAAAATAAATAAATTTAAGAAATTTTATGATTTTAATTAATAAATAATAATTCTATTAAAAAATAATAATTATTATATTCTTAATAATTTATTATTTAATTATTAATATTTTTTTGAACTGATTATTAATAGTTATTTCAAATCGTAACAAATTTAATTATTATTAGGAAACATTCAAAATTATGTAGTTTTAATACAAAATATGACATTTCCCTTTCTGTGACCACAATTTATTGGTCACCAAAGGTTTTGAGATCTCGCTTTTTTTTTTCCCCCTCTCCCGCCATTACTTTACGCGATCATATTTTTTTTTTGTCGCAAAAAATTACCTATTAGCTACCAAAATGTTGTTGGTTGCAAAAAACACAACTCGTTAGTGACCAAAAAAATGTTAGTCGCAGAAATTTAGTTCAATTTCTTGGTTCAATTTATTTTTTATTGATTTTAAGTATTTGGTGACGAAATTTGGTTTTCCTCTCTAAAAACAATACATTTGGAGATGAAATTATTTCCTCTCTAAATTTTTTTTACAATGGTGATGAAAAATTTCGTCTCCAAAATGGTGCCAAATCTTCCGCCAAATTTTCCAAGGTGAGAAATTCTTTTGTGACGAAAAATAAAATTTAGAGACGAATAAATTTTTTGTCACCTGTTGTTTTATTTGATTTTAAGCATTTGGTGACAAAATTTGGTTTTCGTCTCTAAAAATAGTACAATTGGAGGCGAAATCTTATTTTCATCACTAAAACATATATATTTGGAGACGAAATATTTTTTCGTCATGCATTTTCGTCACCAAAGACTTTTTTTGCTGTAAGCAACATACATATGATGATAATAAATTCTTTATTATTTGTTTTTATTATTAGTTATCTAAATTGCACAAGTATCGTTGTGCCACCCGCTAATATGATTAACCTAAACTCTCTAGGCACATTAGAGAAACATAAGCAAATTAATTGTTAATATGGCCATAAATAGATCATAAAAATAAACAAATAGATTATAACACAACAACAATAATGATTTATTCCCTTTTCCATTGTTTACCAAGCCTTAAAAAAATTTGAGATTTTTAATGATCACATAGAATCACTTAAATCATGAAGGTCAGTGTGTCAGATGAAATTATTTCATGGGACGAACCAACACAAGATTATGGTCGTCGGGGGAATTTTGAGAACTCTGGCCGTCTACACTCCATATATGTCGTCTTTTCCTCATTACCTTCATCGATTCCATAAAACATCAGAATGACATTCCCTCCAAGTTCCTACACATCAAATGAAAAATTAGAACTAATCTAAAGATCGATACAATCTATTTGTACAATATTCATGTATCAAAAAATCATTGTTGGCTTTATGGGACTTAATTATTGAATCAATAGTGTCCACAACTGCAACAATTTGGTTATATCAGCTTGCAGTGCTTATATTAATAAGGATAAGTGCCTAGATGAAATTCACAAAACGAGACGCAAATGTGAGATAAAGGGTCACAACTACAGTAAATTCATTGAGTCTCACATTTGTGTCTCATTATGTGAATTTCACCATTTGTCTCACATTTGTGTACCATTTTGTAAATTTCGTTGTATTGCTAGCATTGTCGTATTAACGGAGTTTGAAATAATGATACCTGGAGTGTAGAATGGCTGTCATCAACAGCATTAAGAGCGGATTTCAACACCCGAATTGCAGTTGAATTGTTTCTTAAGATCTCTCGACACCACTTAACCGTTTCTTGTTCTAACTTCTCTAGCTATATATAGAAATAAACAAAACACGAAATGACATATGCACGTGGATGTTACATACTTATGTAGTGCATAAGATAAACAACTAATGGGGAGAGAGAGAGAGAGAGAGCTTATTAGCTAAGTTATGCTTAAGAACTAAAAATGAAATGGTATACATGGTTGTAATTTGAATTCACCGGGACAACTATGTTGGCAAGTTCCATTTTCTTTGCTTCGAAAGCAGTGTAGAACCTTGCCAGAAACCACATTTCACGTGTTTTTTTAGGCTCAACCTATCTAACCAGAATTAAAGTTTTACAATACCAAATTTAAAATTTATATTGTAAAACTTTGATCAAAACACATTTCCCATATGATCAATGTAGCTCGCTTTTCGTGCTCATTTCAGAAGACGAATAGCCCTACAGTTTGGACTCTTGTGGTTCTAATTTTGATTTCACAAGTGTAATGTGAAATAATGAAAACACAAAAAGACTCTAAATCCAGCAATTCGTTTTGAAAAATCGATATTTGAATCAAATGCCAAAAATGGACTGCTTTGCCAGATTTCAGAGTCGCTACCTAAATATTTTTGAAAAATTTAGGAAACTCAAGACTTGTGTCAAAGGCCATTAGTTCGTCATCACCAAAGTGTCTCGGCTCAGGAACTTAGGTACGAGAGGGGAAGGTCATGAATTGAGCACCCCACTCGCCCGATCAAAGATCAGCCTCTACTAATCATGATGTGATTTTTTATTTACATTATATGCTCTTGTTCTAATTATTAGATATTTTTTACTATGTGACACACACACAAATATAGACTAATTTGCAAGAATTGAAATATTTGATTTGGTGTTTTATTTGAAATTGTTTTGTGAATTTGCCACTTGAAAATGTGGGCTTAAAATGGACATTAATCAAACTATCCCAATTCAAGCAACTAACTTTTACCCACAGGCATTCAAACAATTATATCATTTAAGCAATTAGCCTCATGAAAGTATGCTTTGACATGGTAACACAAACATTCGATGCAAGATGCTAAAACACAAATTACTCACTTAGTGCTCCGAGCCAAAACAAAGCAAAATAATTAGAAAAAATATGCATGCTCCTAATTAATGCATATAACTAAATGCAACACACACATTATGTATTTTATAGACTCAGCTACGAGCATGGCATATGATTCCATTCAAGACATGCGATAAAGCACATATTCAAGTAATAAATTTGAACACGGACATTGGGTTGGTATGATGAGCCGAACCTTGGATGCATGCAAGACAATGGATGCAGCGTATAAAATACTAATTTGAAAAATGATATTCTATTCTAACCATCGTAAGCAAGTAAGTAAAAAGGAGAAAAACGTAGGGTTAGAAGACATATAACTTATTACACATTTGCCCTCGTACAAGAGGGTGCGAATCAAAATCCGAAAGTCCAAATTAAACTAATTATTACAAAACCAAATGAATAAATAAGCAAATAATTAACTAGCTAACGACTCTATTACAACAAGGATAATCATGAGAAGTAAAATAACTATCTAAGTTAATTAGCTATAACAATTACAAATAAACAATAATGATAATTACAACACTAATAATTAACAAGACTAATTGTAATAACAATAATAATTACAACGCTAATAATCGGAGCATTAATCTACAACATTAAGGTAAGCAAGGATGCACAAGGGTTGCATACACAGTGTCCAAGAACAACTCTGTCTGCCTAGGCCTGTTCTATTTTACCTTCAGCCACTGCCCTCTGTTTTCTGTAAAACATATTGCTAACCAAACATTGATGGCCGGCCGTGCCTCAATGAGGCCCAGCTGGGCTCCAAAAGGGCCGACCATGCCTTAATTTCATGCAAAATCCTGTTTTGTGCTCTGAAGTGAAAACAGTGCAGACAGAGTTATTCTAGACTCTGTTTGTCCCTCTTACACTTCTTTGTCATGGGAAAGCCTAGAGAGAAGGTTGGAATCGTTTCCAAAACCATCAATGAGCAAGTTTATTGCTTGATGATTTCAGGTACAATTTGGACAAAGATTGATAAATGCAATGAACAACAACCAACCATCCCTCCTATCATGGAGTGAACTCAAAGAGTGAGGTAGAGATACTTCAAGGTTCATCAAAACATTATGAATTGATGTAAGACAACCCTTGATACAATGGACTCAGCATAAGGTCCGGCCAAACCCCAAGCACACTTCTTTGTCATGGGAAAGCCTAGAGAGAAGGTTGGAATTGTTTCCAAAACCATCAATGAGCAAGTTTATTGCTTGATGATTTCAGGTACAATTTGGACAAAGATTGATAAATGCAATGAACAACAACCAACCATCCCTCCTATCATGGAGTGAACTCAAAGAGGGAGGTAGAGATACTTCAAGGTTCATCAAAACATTATGAATTGATGTAAGACAACCCTTGATACAATGGACTCAGCATAAGGTCTGGCCGAACCCCAAGCAATATAACTCATTTTCTTTATGTGGGTTGGTTCATTTTAAGCCAAATTCATTAGTCTTTACCATCCTTTAATCCATTAAGTCCAAGGTGATTATTATGTCTACTAATAGATTATGTCCACTAAGTGAGAAACATGTCAAACGGGAGGTGATTCTCAACATGAACAAGAGACTATGCCGTTGACAATGAATCTCCGTAGAGATTAAACCATTAAGCATAGATCTCTAGTTCACGTTTTGAATAACCGTCAACCGATTGAAATAACTCTCAAATGAAAGAAATGAATGGAAAGTTGATTATTAAAATGAGGTTCTTAAACATGGAAATTAGTTAAAGAAAAGCTTATAACAATATACAACAAGTATGTATGCAACCTTATGAGACAACAATCAAGCTAATCAAAGCATGAACTAACTAAACAACCTAGGACAACCTTGAAACAGCACTTAACGGATGAAAAACAGTGGCTCACAATGCATGAAAAGAGCCTACAAAGCTAAACAACAAAGAGAGAAAAAAAAAGAAGCTAGTAAGTAAAAACGAGGAGGGTGGCTAACCCTTCCACTTTTGAAACCTCAAAGCATGATTTTTAGCCTTTTTTAAACTCTGAAAAATAATTTAGAAAGCAAAGGAAATGGTGTAAAAGCAAGGGATTGGCCCTTCTGTTACTCCCATTGTTTGCCTCTTTAACAGAAACTATAAGAACCTGAATTTTTGGACAACTAATTAGTTTCTTAATCATAATATTAAGTCAATTAATAGTGATTATTAAATAATTATGTCAATAGCATCATAATTAATACCAATATTAGATTCCTTTAAATAAAATTATTTAGCTTTCTGTGATTAAATTTTTGTATCTAAACACAGTTGTGGGCACTAAATGAGTTAAATAAATAATAACCAAGTTGGTTAGAGGATAGAAGGGGGGGGGGGGGAAAAATCTAGTGACTAGGATATATATACATTGATTTTCATTTTGAAAAAAAAAAATAATAGAAGTTAGATTTGTTGTGTTGAGTAGAACATTTTGACTGCCCTTCTTCCCAACAAGGCTGCTGTCAAGGCATGCCATGGCATGCATAGAAACATACTCTAAGCCTATTCTTGTAGATGATAGTTCCCAAGCCAAGAGAAAAAAAAAAGAATAAAATAAAATAAAAATAAAGATTGCCTCCAAGCTTCTATATATAGTGCACTATTCACCCCTTTTCATTTCCACGGTTGAGGAAAAGAAAAAGAGAGGAAGAGTAGAAAAGAAAAGAATAAGAGAGGAAGAAAATAAGGTGCTTGGTGGTTACCAATTCAAAGCAAGTTTTGAGAATCGTTTGTAAAAGCTCTCTTAAGGTAGGAATACTCAACCTCTATCCTCCCTTAGATATTTTTCTTAACTGAATCTATATATTAAAAATATGCAAGACTGTGCATTGTTAATACACAATAGCTCAATGCATGTTTACATTTTAATAGAATGATAATCTTATGATTATATGATTTCTATCCTTCTTGCAAGCATGAATTAGATGGTTTAGCTACTGATTTTTCTCCTTATGTGTTCAAATATTCTCCATTGTTTGAAATAATCTTGCATGCATGTGAATTTGTGTTCACTCTTCATAAATATTATTTTCATCTATTCCCTATTACCACTAATGAAAGTAAATATGAAGAATTAGAGTTTCACATGGGAATAGTAGCAAGAAATAATTTTTATAGTCTTGCATATGATTCATGGTGAATACAAAGTGTAGTTTTCGCAAAACAATGAACTTTCTGCAAAACAGATTTTTAATCAGTTTTGAATAAACCCAAACAAACTCATGAGAACACTTTCATAAAATCTGAAACTACTGGAGTTAGCTTAACATGTTTTCATGGTGCTAGAATATCAAAAAAAAAATTATTTGACAGCGTTTCGTGGTCAAAACATATTTTTAACTTCATTATTGTCTGGAGGCAGCAGCAATGCTGAATTTACCAGGTCACCGTTTATTCTACAGAATGAGTTTCCAAGTGATTCAAATTGGAAAAGTTATAGATTTTTAAGTTATCTTTTAAATTCCACTGGTTTCATAAATTTTTTTTTAAGCATTGAGAGAGAAACGTCAATTTTTTCAAAATGTGACAGAATCTGTCCAGTTTTCTTAGAAAAATTATTTGACCATCTTCCGTTGGGTTTCAGTCTTCAAACTCTTCTAGAAATATGTTTTAAACTCAAATATCTAGCAAACCATTCTGACCATACCTCGTTTTGACACCATTTGAGGCCCCTTTTATTTTTCAAACATAGATCACATGTGTTGGAAGTTAATATAACTCACTGTCCTAGAAAAACCAGTTTTCTCCAAATTTTATTTCTCCATTTTAAAATCATTTTTAGCCTTGGTATTCTTCTCGAAATATTTTTCTAACTCGATGAACTAGCACCAGTTAAAATACTGTAATGGTTGAACTTTGTTTGGTATGAGTTTCATATTTTTTTTGTCCGACCATACAGTGCTGAAAGAAGAAATGTGTGAATTCTTAAGAAATTTTGTGATGATTCCTAAGATATTCTATCAAATTTATTTTGGTTGCCATACATGATTGTGTTGTGCTATATAAACATTATGTCACTATGGTTTTCAAACTAAAACTCGCACATGCATCAAAATGTGAATTCGACGAAGTAAAGAAATACAAAATTGAATCGATGATACATTAAAATTTAAAACTGATAGAGTCAGCTCAGTTTAGAATCTTGCGCAAGTGAGTCGCAAATCCTAACATGACACGGGAAGGTATTTCGGCTCTTATCGATGTAGGCGATATATGGTTGGTGGTGCGAGTGTCATAACATAGACCGTTCCTTTGAGGTAGACCGTGATGTCACGACTCGGGTACGTAACCCTGGTGCGTGGGCATCATTGGTAGTTACAGCAAATAACATTTGAATATTTGACCAAGGGGGAGTCAGAATTGCCCGTGGCCATTGCTTAGCGGTTGAGCGGAAATAGTGCTCCGCGGTGAGTTACTTAAACTTATCTGATAAACTAAATCTATGAGAATTTAAAAAGAAAGGTGGGCATTTTCCTTATGATGAAATATTCGCTTGCCATTGTTTTTATTTATTTATTATTTATTGTTATTATTTCAACTGATAGCATTCATGTTATGCTTATTAAATGCTACTTGTTATTCTGTTACTACACATTATTCATTAATTGTGAGTGTTATTTTCGGGGTGGGTATTTTCGAGTTATAGTATCTTATTGAGATCATCACTCATTGGCATTTCCGTTTCCTTGGTGTTTTATGCCAGGTACCGAAGAAACCGAAGGGAACACTGAGGCCTTGCAAGGCAACATTTAGCCTTGGTTAGCTTGAAGAGTGCCCAAGTTCCATGACCTATTTTCTATGTTTTTCTAGTTTTCTTTTTATGTTTGTGTTTTATTTATTTATTTATTTATTTATTTATTTATGTACTAAAACTAAGTTTTAAGTTTTATTGGATTTGTAATTTAAGAACTTTCAATTTATGGGTTGTTAATTAGTGGATGTTAGTAATATTGGTGGCAACATTGATTCTAAGTTCTAAATCTTATTATGATGTCCTAAAATTTTGGGGCGTTACAACATGGTATCAAAGCTTAGGTCTAGACACCCTTGAGACCTTGGGTAAACTTAAGCACACGTCTCTTACTACACTTCAATTAAAAACATTTTATGATCTAAAGCCTTACCAAAAGTATAATATTGTCGTATTTCCTCTGTAGGATATCGAGCCCACTCTACAACGACGACTGGCTCTCGGATCCAGAATCTGAGCCAGAAGAGGAGCCATTACTAAGTGATCTAGAAATATGGGCGGAGGTTTCTTAGTCTGAACCAGAGGAAGAGGATCCGGAAGAAGAAGTGATGGAAGAGGTGAACGAGGAGGTTGACATGAAAATAAACTTTATGGAACACTTAGCCGTCCTTTCCCTTGAAGAGCGTGAAGGAGGAGAGAGTGAGATGGAGTCGGACCCCATTTCCTCCATAGAATATGCCTTCTAAAAAAATGAGGTGGACTCGGGAAATGTGACGCAGGAGGTGGCATTCCTAATTGGACTTAGGATGTATGTCAGGCTAGAACCAATAATACCTTGCGAGTGGAAGTATTGAAGGGAGGATGACAAATACATGGGAACTGTAAGAGTTGTCCGGGAATTTGCTGGGGCCATGTACGAGGTCGACCCTTTACCACCAGCCTTGGCCGACAATTACACCAACCTCTTCCACCAACGGGACATTTTCTTAGTAGCCCTACTGGCCGGAAAGATTATCCCTACGGATGGGACGATGGACTTTCGCGATCCACTCACTTACTAAGAGGTCCCCATGAGGATTCTGAGCCAAAGCGTAGGATTGGAAGGACCTAGGTTGTTAGTCCATTTGAGGTGCTACGGACTTTACGATGAGAGCTGGGAGTATGCCTGGCAAGTACATTAACACTATCTGTGGCTCTTCAATTAAGAGGGATTGAAGAGGGGTAGGCTAGGTTGCTTAACAAATTTGTTGCGATTTCATTGTAAAGGCCTAGTCTTACAAATATTAGTAATGGGGTAAGAGAGTCCCCTCGGTTATGTAATCGATTTTTTTTTCTTTCTTTCTCTTATGAATGTACTGATCTTTTATTATCATTAATGAAATCCTAGTATTTAAAAGTTTGTGTGTTGGACTATTTTACTTGCATTTTATCTTTAAATAGATAATATATATAAATAATAAATAAATAAATAAAGGGTGTAACAACAATATCCTTCGTACAGAAAATGACAGGAAGAACTAGGGCAAACAGATCTAATGACAACAATAACAACGACAACAACAACAGTGACATCATGAATTTCGTTCGAGTAATTACTAATGAACTAAGAAACCAACCTAGGTGTCATGACCCAAACCGGCCTCTATAGGTTTAGCATTGTAACTGACCAGTAATCCTAGGATTACCGAAGGCCTCTGAGACAAATTAACATAATATTAGGGACTAGCGGAGGCAAATAACAAATATACAACGTCCATTGAGTTGTGCAGACTTATATGAGATAAAAAAATTTAAAACTTTTTATATACGTATATACACATCATCCTTATGTCATTATATATATATATATACAGATTAGACAAAAAGGGGCTTAGCCCTATTTACAAAATACACAAGACTTATTTAACCAAACAAGAAAATGAAACTTAAACTTTAAATCACATAGCCATAGCCACTTGACATATCCGGAACCTCCATGGGAGGCACATAGGTTGGCTGACAAAAATAGATTCTAGGCAGACGCCTCTAAGCCTGGTTACGCGCTTGATCACCTACATACATAAATAATACAGTGAGCTAGAGTCCAGTAAATAATAACAGAGTAAAGGGTTTTGATGAATGATGTCCATACTAGATTCAAAAATCATAATTCTGATTCATAAACAGATTCATATTCATATTCTTGTTCAAATCAAATATAGAAATCAAAGTTCATGCTTAATCATACGTGGTACATCCATTAGCGCTAACAGAACAGATGCAAAACATATGGTGGTTATGAATAACCAGTTCCATAAAGGAACCTCCGGATCCGGATAACAGAGAATAAACATGCTAAGCCCCATGATGGAGCCTCCGGTACGGGTAACATATGGCAGACATAACAAGTTCCATAATGGAACCTCCGATACCGGCTAACAGAGAATATACATGCTGAGCTCCATGATGAAGCCTCTGGTATGGGTAACAGATGACAGACATAATAAGTTCCATAATGGAACCTCCGATACCGGGTAACAGCTAACAAATATCACATGATGTTAAGGATGCCATGAATACATTGTTAGAAATTGGACAATCATTCATTGTACAGAACATATCATTTTAGAAAATAGATCTTAATTCATCATACAGAAAATAAATAAAGTTGAACATAGTATTACTAAGTTATTACTCACAGCTAGTTGCAGAAGCAGATCAGACAAATCAGGCAGACAATAGAGCGTGACCTACAGAAGCACATAACATATACACATTGAAATACAATATCAATTCCTTGATCAAACTTGACTTTTCTTGTCTTTTTCTGTCTAAATAGTCCGGAGTTCTACTATCCTTATTATTTCTTATTTAAATGATTCGGGTTCTCATTTCACATATCCTTTCATTACTAAAGCATTATTTTCTGAATAAACCAATTTCTTACTTGGCTTCTTAATCAAGTACTACTAAGTTAATAATGTATTCTTTTAATCAACTAATTAATGTTGATTGTTAGCTTATTAATCTTTATTGAGTCATAAATCATGTCTAGAACGCTTTGGGAAGAGATGAGAATAAAAATATGAACTAAATGCAACTTTCCAAAATATGCTGAGAATAGTTATTCGCTCGAGCGAGCCTTCAATCGCTCGAGCGGTCTGTAAAAGACTATAAAAAGTACTGGAAGTCTTCAATTTGCGCTCGAGCGGCAATTAGTTCGCTCGAGCAGTCTGTAAAATTCTAGAATTTCGAACTTCTCAAAAATGGCTTCCAAACGCATTTTCAATTCTTTTGAAATCCATGCATATCTTGATCAAAACCATAAAAATGCCTTAGAAAATATAAACACTTATTTATTTATAAATTATTTGTTCAAAATCTTGAAACATAAAATTAATTTATTTAAATCAAAACCTTACTTAATTTCAAAATCAAAACCGATGAACTTATGGTTTTCTAAACTTCTTTTTCAAAATCAAATGTACTATTAGAATATCAAAATTTGTAGAATTTGTTCATGCATGTAGGAACTAGACTCAAACTCATGTAAGGTATTCAAAAACAAATCCAAAATAATTAGCTTCCATAATCATGAACATGCATGTAATTCATTTTATGTTCAAAACCCAATTTCTTCCTAATTCCATGAATTTAATCCCAAATCCTTCTCAATCTCAAGAAATCTATGATGCATGTAAATTTACAACACCCATGATAAATGTTCAATCGCTAATTTTTAACATAATTTTCAAACACTTTAAAAATTCAATTAAACTTGTATATATATAATTCAACCTATCAATTTCATGATTCTACTTTCAATTTGAGCGAAATCATTAATTATCATTATGAATCAACTTTGGGTTTTCAAGAAAAATCAAGACTTCCAAGAAAAATTAAAACTTCTCACACCACTTCTTTTTATTCTAATTTTCCCTTTGATTATACACCCAAGGTTCATAATCCATAAACTTATCCCAACAATTAAATCCTAACACTTCAAACCCTAAACCTCCAATTTCCATGATATAACACCATATGCTCAAAAATGTAGATTTTGCATTTATATAATCAAAATATCACAAATCTATCTATTAATGCAAGTATTGAAAAAGAACTAGGACCCCTACCTCAAGAATCAAACAAGAGAGCAAAGCTTTGAGAAAAATCCTTTGCAAATCCGAATTCCAATTGGTTGAAAATGTTGAGCTTCAAGTTTTTTTCACTTTTTGGTAAGAGATCTTGGCCAATTCTTAGGGAAATGGAAGGTATTTGAGGTCAAAAACCTAGGGTTTTCGAACCTAGGGTGAGAGGGATGAAGAGAGGAGATGAAAGTGTGAAGAATGATCTAGAAAAGTGCCTTTAAACTTGCTAAATTCGCGCAGTACACTCGAGCGTCGATTTTCCCGCTCGAGCGTACCTGTTTCCAACATAGATTCCAAAACTTCAAACGGGCATGACTCTCTCATCCGGACTCCATTCTAGGTTTTTCTTGTGTCCAAATCGAAGCCCCGGAAATAAGCTTTCCAATGGTTTTAGCCTCACACCCAAATTCAAAGTGTGGAAAAATAAAAGGGCAAAAGAGTGACGGCTGTTCGTAGAAAAAATTATTAGAATTAAATTCTTGGTTCACTCTTACTTTACCATTATGTTACCACTTCGATCAATGTCCCAAAATAAAACAAGGAGGTTCCAAATATTAAATTGAACTTATTATCATCATCAATTTTTGATTTCTTAAATCATTTAAGCCTTCAATTTCTGATTAGACTCAAAATTTGGTCATTAAATTACATATTTGAATTAGGCACCACATAAATGAATTTAATTCATAATAATCTAAATTCTCAATCCTCTTAACTTAATTAACTCCAATTCAGACCCAATTAATCAAATCTCAATTTTATAAATCTGAATCGAATATTTAATTAAACTCCCATATGGTCCAATACTCAAAATTCAAATAATTCAATTCACTATTTGCACTTTCTTGAGCCATTTAGGCTTTCAATTTCTAATTCCAAAATAAATCCTCAAACAAAAAGAACTATGGCAAATGGATCCAATGATAACAATAACAATGACAACAACAACAACAACAACAACAACAGTGACATCATGAATTTCGTTCGAGCAATTACTAATGAACTAAGAAACCAACCCAGGCGTGAAAACAACAAAGTAGAATTAATAGCAAAATTTCAAAAACTCAGACCCCAAAAATTTTCGAAGAACCCAATCCCTACATAGCTGAGGCTTGGATAAGGCAAGTGAAGAAAATATTAGAGATGCTAGAGATTTAGAATGAGCAGGACCAAATGTCCCTCGCTTCATTTCTCTTCGATGGGGAGGCTGATTTCTGGTGGACAATGATTAAGGAAAGCCGTCAAGTGGCAGAACTATCTTGGAGATAGTTCGAGGAGTTATTTATGGAAAAGTACTTGCGGCAAGAAATGATCTAAGAATTTCTCCAACTGAAACAAGGGCATGACTGTGACACAGTATGCCAATCGATTTGAGGCCCTTTCTCGCCATGCCACAGCTATAGTGGCAAATAAAAGAGACAAAGTAAGGCGCTTTGAGTGGGGACTTGATTCGGGAATCCGAGACAAGTTGATGCAGTGCAGCTACCTACTTATGCACAGGTAGTAGATAGGGCTCTTACTCTAGAAAGAAAGAAGATGGACACTACAAGGAACCAAGGTCAGCAGTCTTGAGCCAACCAGCAAAAAAATGGAGGACCCTCAAGAAACAATAGGACCCCTGCCGCTTTTGTACCTTATGCTAGGGGGCCACAACAACAGCAAGGGTATAATCCTGAGCAACGTAATAGGGAAGGGGCCAGAATGTGCTATGAGTGTGGCCAAGAAGGGCACTTTAGGAACAACTGTCCTCAAAGGTCAGGCTACTACATCAATCAAGGAAGAGCCACTCAACGAAACAAACATGACTTGAGGGGAAGCTTTTCTTACTCCCAAATCAAATCAAAACATCATTGTGTGCCATCATAAAAAAAGGAGAGATTGTTAAACTTATTTATTTTGATGATTTATTTAATTTATTTGAAAGAGAAAAATAGAATCCAAAATTTATTTTAATGATTTATTTAATTATATTTTAATTTATTTGAAAAAGAAAAATAGAATTAAAATTTATTTTGTACCATTATTTCTCACCTAAACTTTTATCCTAAATATTGTTTGAATGTATTTAATATTTGCTTAAATCAGGAATTAATTTCAACCTAAAAATAATGCCAAAACCAGAGGTTCAAACAATCCAAAACAAAGGTTCAAATAGCCCAGCACAGCAACATGCCAAAAGGTTCAAACAGCCCAGCACAACAGCAGGTCAAAAGGTTCAAACAGCCCAGCACAACAGGAGGCCAAAAAGTCCAAGTGGAAGATATTCAAATTAATAATGATGGAGTCGAAGATATTCAAATTAGTAATGATGGAGTCGAAGATATTCAAATGAATACAATAGCTATAAACAGCTATAAATTCAAATGAATACAACGGGTATAAACGGCTATAAGTTTCATTATATATACCAAAGTCTCTAATGTATACAAGTTACAAAAAAAATTAGAAAATATTCTTTGATCTATAATCACTCACATCTATTCTTTAAAAAATTCTCTAAGAAGTGTTCTTCAATTTTTGTTTACATCCTCTTTCAGAAATTAAATACTGAGACGTATAGCTTTAAGCCCATCTTTCCTGTGTAAAGTTTACAGAAAAACCAGAGTTTCATTTTTATATCTATGCTTGAGAGATAATTCTTGTATCTTTTTGTGAAAGCAAAAACACCTTATTTTCAACCTTGTAAGAGTGTAGTACACTCAGTGTACTTGACTTAGAAAGTCTGTGTAAAATCCATAGAGGATTGCTCCATTTGTAAAGAGTTTGCTAGCACCTCTGTGAAGTTAGAGCATAGTGGAAAATCTCAAGTGAAGCTTGAGGAATGGACGTAAGCCGAGTTGAAGTCGAACCACTATAAATTTATTTGCCTCTCTCTCCCTTATCTCTTTATTTTATTTAAATTGTCATAGCTATATTTCACATTTTCACTGTGTTAAAATCATTAACTGACATAGTTGTTAGAACACTTGTTTTAATTATTTTTATTTCATTAACTATATTTATTTATTGTGCTAGTCATAATTTTTATTAAGGTATTATTATTTTTATTTGTAAAAACATAATTCACCCCCCTCTTAGGTTGTCTTTTGGGTAACAAAGCACATAGAGAGCTCAATGTTATGCACATAGTACTAAATTAAGTTTATTTACAAATGAAAGATTTTTGGATGCTGGGAGGATAGCACAAGGCAATGCCATGTAGTAATTTCAACCAATCACAAATAGCTATGCCCCTCGTGTTGTTTTCCAAACACTAATATAAATATGTGGATTCCACTGTCTAAGCCAATCACAATACAAAAAAGGAACCACTGTGGCAATTGTTACGATCCAAACCCGCCCCTATGAGTTTAGCGTTGTAACCGGCTAGTAATCTGCGATTATCGAAGGCTTGTTTTACAATAATGAAAATAATACAATATAAAGGGGCTGACGAAAGCCAATTAATAATACAAAATATCGTCCAATGAGCTATGGAGACTTAAATGAACAAAACAAATTTCATACACTTGGAATTATACAAACACTTAAGTCCATAATTCACTAATAGACAAAACAAAACATGAAATAGGGAATTAAATCCCATTGCCAAAATAGTAGTAATAAAAGTCATAAAACACACGTAATCCTTAATTACAAATCAAAAGGGTGAATTTGAGCTACCCAAGCTTTGACACATATTGGTTCGGAACCTTGTGGTGAGGCACAATGGTTGGCTTGACAAAACAAGATTCGGGTCGACGTTGCCAACTCTGATCCGGTGCTCAATCACCTACATATATATAATAAACAATAAGTTAGAGTCCAGTGAATAACAACTGTGTAAAAGAGTTATGAATAATATCCTTTCAATAATTGAAACAGTCAATTCATCAATAAATCAATTTCTCAATCAATGTTTCATATCATATCAATCATTTCGATTCATATGTGGTACATCCATAGCAGAACAATCCATAGGTCTTAAAGACCGAACGATCACTTGATGGCCATCAATACAATAACAATAGTTCCAAGAATTGGAACTGACAGAGATCTCTATACCAATAGCAATAACAATATGCTATGGATGCCACGAGTACAGTTCCACAAAATAGGACAATCATTCATCAATAAACATTATCATTTCAGTAAAACAATACATTTTTATCAATCAAAAAATAATTATAAGGGAACATAACTTTACCATAGTGTTACTCACATTGGGCTCCTCAAAATATGTGCTAAAATTGCACTACAATGCGCCGTCCGACCTAAACAAATAAATTCAAGTACAACAATTCAATTACATTCATATTCTTACAATTCTATTCAATTCGATTACTTGATTTCTATTCGGTTTCTCTCGTTCAGTTCTAACTTTCATTCTTTTTTGTATAATTCAATTCCAAAACCCACAAAAATAAGCTCGAACTTTAATTTTCAATCATCAAATACAACCCATAAGTTTATAACCAAATTCAATTGTTCAATTTATAACCGATAATATGTAAAGCAATTATAAATCATAAAATGTATGTTCAAGCTTCAATTCAAGCTTTTAAATGAGAATTTCTTTGAAATTATGAGAGACCAAGTAAAAGATCATGTGTATGAAATTAATTTGTCCATGAGATGATCAAATTTCTTAGACTAGAGCATATTCAAGTATAAAAATCATGAATTCCCAACTTCAAATAAAAATCATGATTACAAAACGAAACCGAAATTTTCAGTTAAAAGAGCACAAACTTTAATTAAAGTATGAAATCATAGAACATATATTGTTTGAGTTCCAAATTCATCTTCCATGGAAAATTCTTTAAGCCATGCAAGAAAACTTAAAAATACGGACATGAATTTCCAACTTCAAACACAATCACAACTTCAAAAACAAGCCCAATTTTCCAATTGAAAGCTTAAAACTTCAATCAAATTGTAAAAACATAAAATATATAGTTAGAAGCTTCAACTTAAAAATTCATGAGGAAATTCTTTTGAAATCCTTAGGAGCCATAGAAATCATGTAAGAAAATAAGTGGTTAAACAAGAATTTCATGAAATGAAACATGCATGTCAAAATATTGAACTAAATTCTTCAAATCTACCATGCATGTACATAATATGAGCTCAATCCTTACAATTTCTTCATTATATTGTTCATTCGTATATTCTACTTCATTTTACTCCATAAAAAACAACAATTAGGCTTGATTCCTTCTTAATTCAACTTACGTTCCATAAATTCATGAGTGTAACATCTCAATTTCAAAAAATTAGAAGAGAATTCTTACCTTAGAGGGTTGATTTGTGAATAGCAAGCCTAATTTCCCTTAATTCTTTTCTTTCTCCTCTTCTCCTTGAATTCCCTCCCTAGAAGTCTATCTCTCTCTTTACGGAAGGCTCAACAATGCCCACTACCTCTCCTATTTCTTATTAAATGGGTGAGTAGAAAAACAAGTCCTATTCTATATACTTGAGTACATTTTTGGCTAATTAATTACTTGAATTAAATTATAACAAATTCACTTTAATTAAATTAATTCTCAACATATTATGATCTCAATTACACTAAATTTAATTCTACTAATGTGAATTAGGCTCTAATTATCCATCTCTAATCTCAATACAAGTAATAAGAGCCAACATGACTTTACGAATCAGAGGAAATCAATTTTTAATTAAACTTCTCAGATGATTCTAAAAATTCTAATTAACATATCCATGTACTCCATTTTGGTTTCTGAACCCATTTCAGCCGTCAATTTCAGTTTCAAAGTCGTATTCTCAACAGATAATTTCCTAATTTGGACAGATAACACATGGGTAATCCAGATAAATATCTATGTTAGCGGTGATATGTAGCCGTCAATGTCAGTTCACATTATGTTATCAATTTCAGATATGTTATGATTTGCAATTAACACATTATGTTATCAATTTCAGTTTCTGAACCCATTTTGTCCGCAATTAATACGTGGGTAATCCAGATAATTATGATTTGCATTTTTTTTCTGAACCCATTTTGTCCGCAATTAATACGTGGGTAATCCAGATAATTATGATTTGCATTTTTGGGGTGTTATAGCAATTCCCTCTGGGTATGCAATAATTGTTCCTCTACAAATATTAAAAATATAGCAATAATGCTATGTATCAAAGAAGGAAAAAAAAAAAAAAGAAAAGAAAAAAGAAAGGACAAAATGTAAGATGTGTAAATCAGATTCATCCTCGTCAAATTATGTTTGTGAAGCTGACTCATTGAACCTGCGTTCTATATTAAACAACAATAATGTTATTGGTTTAATGATTTCATCACTTGTGCCAGTTACTAATATAATGTTGACTTATAAGACGATAATCGAAACATGATAACAATATGAGATCATTGATTTATAGTACGAGTAAATCTAAATACCAATAATTTTCACACAATGGGTCACGTATGATACGTGAAACAAATAGTGGATCCCGGATATGATGGATGCCACTCATCTTTTACCTCACATTTCTATCTAACTTTGTAAAAAATTTCTGTATAACTAGCACAACTGGTACAAATGCATGTAATATCATCCACAAAGTCATTTTGCATTTTCTGAAAAATCACCAACCACAGTTTCACTCACTTCACTACTAAATTCACACCCCCAAAAAAATACAAAAGAGATAAAATTTGAACCTTGGCAATGGGTTCGCCAACAGCTTTCTCGTAGACCATGTCGGTGAACTCCTTGCCATTGTCATCACAATCAACAAGTCTCCAAATAGGGTCGTGGGTCGGGACTTCACCGTGTATACGGTGATATCTATTGTTCATTGGTGCTGTTTGGTATAACTGTAAAAACAGATTATAAATTATAACTTAACATATTATAGATTATGACTTTAATCAGAAACTGTTAATCTGTTTGATATAATTGTTGGATTATAGATTTAAGTTGCTGAGTAATGTTTGTTAAATAAGATGTGAAGTAGCTTTTTCAATTAACTTTTATTTTTTATTATTCACTATTTGTGTATATTTTTCATAAAAAATAATAATAATATTTTATAGTCCATTTGGGTCTTTTTCTATTTTTAAAAAAATAAAAAATAAAAAATTCTAAGAGTATAACCATAAATTAACATGTCCACTGATAATCAGAAGCAAGGGGTGAGCAGCTTTTCAAAATCAATTTTTTTTTTTTATTTAAAATAAGCTATTAGAATCAGAAGTTGTTTGTAAAAGCTTAACCAAACAGTCCAAAATAGCTTTTTAAAAGTCAGAAACCATAAATTGACTCAAAAAAATCCCACCAAACACCCCCATTGAAGAAGAAGAAGAAGCAATGCAATTGCACAACCCAATCGAACCACTGATGCTCATGATGAGAGCAATATGGTAGGTCACAGAGGCCAGTCTCCTTTTCATGGTGTTGATTTCGTTCTCTGCCATGGCTTGGTTTGTGTGTGAACTTTTAATTCGCTCTGTTTTTGAAGGATATCAAAATTGTGTGTTTTTGTACTTCTTCACAGGATAGTGGTTCGTTGGAAATCTTGGGATTTCGTTTTCTGACCTGGTAGGACAGATAAAATAATTTTTATTTCTCTCTTTTTTTTTTCTTTATTAAAATGCGGTTTAGCCATGTGATTTAAGGCCAAGTTTGGCATGATTAAAAAAAGACAAAAAGTCAAAAAGTCACTATCCTATTTAAGTCACATCATCTTATTTAAGTCACATCACCTCTCTAACACATCACTTCAAACTCAACCCAAACCCAATCCATATTTCATAAAAAGTCAAAAAGTACACTTATTTAGTCTTCCCAAACTAAGCCTTAATCATCAAATTAATTAATAATTTTTAATGATATTTAAATTTTATTTTAATTAATAATTTAATAATTATATCATTATATAAGAGAGTTATATAAATTTTTTTTAATTAATTATGTTAAATAAAAAAATTGACAATAAAACATTTTTAATTTTTTAAATCATACAAAATAGGAAAATTTACCCAAAAATCTTATTTTCTGAAAAGTTGAACAATTTAGTCCTAAAAGTTTTCTTATGCACCATTTAGTCTCATTTATACATCATCATCAAAACAACATCAAACATCATCATCAAAACAACATCAAACATCATCTGATATTTTTGATGTTTGTGGGTGTTTCAAACATCAGATTCATTTTTAAAAAAAACTCACCTTGTTCACTTTCCCATCTTCCATTATCACAGCTTTTCAACAGACTCAAAAATTTCACAAACTTCAAACTTCATAGATCTAACTAGAAAAAAAAAAAAATCAAGAAAAAGCGATGCTAAAACGATTGAATTCGAGTTGAACCTTGGTGAATTCTCGAGAAATCAAAGCTTTAGCAGAATCAAGCAGCGGAGAAAATAGTTTCGAAAATCTTCCGAAATCTCAGGCGCGAAACAGAACCGAATCGGATCGGATCGGCTGTTGCGCGATGAATCTGATGAAAGAGATCGACGGCGGCCGATTGGTCCACCATTGTTAGGGTTTACAAAACACGTCGGAGTTGAGAGAGAGAGAGAGAGAGAGAGAGAGAGAGAGAGAGAGACAGATTCAGGACACCATCAAGATGTTGCTCTGGTTCTGTCTCTGCGATTGCCGGTGGGATCCAAACCCAGATTCGATGATGTTTTGTTTATGATGTTCTGACGTTGATGTTCATGATAGTAACACATTAGATTATTGAAATCTGATGTTCATGATGGTAAATGAATCTGATGTTTCATTCTATAATTTCAAATATTATTGAAATCTGATGAACATTAGATGTTTGCAATCTGATTTCAAACATTGTAATTTTTCACATTATTGTAATTTGATGTTGTTTTGATAATGATGTTGTGATATTTGATGTTGTTTTGATAATGATGATGTTGTTTTGATGATGATGATGTTTGATGTATATGCCCTCTATGGTCAATTTCCCTATAACGGGACCTTTCAGTCTATAAAAAAATTTTTAGGACTAAACAATGTATAAATTATTAATTTGAGATTTATTGATGCATCACCCTAGAAAATAATTTATATTTTAAATAAATTTCAAAGAGTTATACAAATAGTCCTAAATTATTTAGAAAAAATTATCCATCGATCCAATTAGACTTGTTACCCAATAAATCTTAACTCTCTTTTGTCAATATGTCAAATCATTAAAAAAATTATTATGAGTTATTATAGCATTCTTTTTTTTTTTTTTACACATAAAAGATTAAAAAGTTAATTAAAATAGTAAATTCCAAAACAAGCCCTTATTTAGAATGTTTGGTTTTAGTTAAAATAGTCAATAAAGACAAAAAAAATTTAAATAATCAATAAAATAAAATGTCACATCTTACAAGTCAATTAATTAAATTTTCTCTCATAATTATCTAATTAACTTAAAATAATAATAATAATAATAATAATAATAATAATTCTAGTAACATCACAATTTGATCTCCTTACACCAATTTTCTCATTTCAATCAATCAAATTTTCCTCTTTACACTTCTCAATCTATCAAGTTTACCCTTCTTCAACCCTACCTCTTCTTATACCAATTTTCATATCTTCTCTCTATACTCTACTTTCCTATCATTTCCGCCATTGCCGCTACTCCTCGCCATTGTCACCATTGTCGGTCTCCACTAGCACCCTCTCCACCAGCGCCAATGCAGACGCATCATCCTCTTCTTATTCGCCTCGCAAAACCCTAACCGCTCTCTCTAGTCACCATCTTCAAACCTTTAAGATCACCTCCCACCGCCACAAACCCCTTTTCCCTACCCCCCAGTCGCGCAATGCCTTTGTCCCTCCCATTCATCCCTAATCTCTACAAACCCATCGTCGGAGTCACCGACGCCAAATCTCACCGAATCGCCAGAGAGAAAGAGAGAACGAGAGAGAAAAAAACTAACCAGATCGCAACTCAGATCAGTCTCGCTTCCCTCGCCTCTCTTTTCCTCGCTGCAAAACGATATCTAGTTTGTCCAGATCTGTGTATATCAACAACATGAAGAAGCTGATGAGGAGAAAAGAAAAGACGACAGACATGAGATGATGGGAGAGGAGTGGCTGGCGACAGCTAAGAAGGGTGGGACAAGGGTTAGTGGTGACGGGCTGGCCGGCGGCAAAGGGGCAGCAGCAAGTGGACTAGTAAAGATGGTGGTGATGGGGTGTAATAAAAAATTAGGGTACCGTTTGGTATAGTTTTCAAATTAAAGAAAAGTTTGGTAAATTGTCAAAAAGTCAAAAAATTAAAAAATTATTAAAAAATTAAAAAATTATTATTATTCATCAAAAGTTAAAAATTACGGCTGCACAACTCTCAATACTAATTTTCTCCTACACATTAATTTATATAATTTTTTAATTATTAAAAAAATTAAAAAATTATTATTATTCATCAAAAGTTAAAAATTACGGCTGTATAACTTTTAATCTTAATTTTTCCCTGCACACTAATTTATACAATTTTTTAATACACATTTTTTTATAAAAAGTTAAAAAGTTAATCCAAACTTCTATATTTTTTTTCTCAATTTTTTAGTTCAAAAAGACAAAAAGTGCAACACCTCAAACAATCCATTTGGATAAAAAAACAAAAAACATGTTTGGTTAATCAACTTTCAAAATTCCTTTCAAAATTATTTTTTCTCTCTTACCTCTCTGTTTTTTAAATTTTTTTTATCATTAATAAATCAATCAATCACTTTTTTCCTCTCCTTTCTCCTCTTTCTTTTCTCATTCTCTCACATTCTATACATCAATCAATCAAATTTTCTCTTAGGGGTGGTTTCGGATGTCCTAAATAAGTGTACTTTTTGACTTTTTATAAAAAGATGTGTAGAAAAATAAAGAGGAGATGTTGATTGATGTGACTCAAAAAGAATAAAAAGATAAAATGATTGACTAAAATAGGTTATGCCAAACCACTCCTTAGACTTATTTATTCAAGTACAAATAAATAAATAAATAAGATTATAAATCATTTCAAAATTATTTTTAAAATTCATAACTAAATAAATTTTTAATTTTTGTTTAATAACTTATCTTTTAAAATGTAATTTAGAACTCAAAACTTATTTAAAAAACTAAACAAAGCAAAGCCTAGGGTTTTCAAAATTTAAGGTGAAAGGATATTTTAATAATTTTAGACGGTTTGGCATGTGAGTTGAAGATTATTTTAATCACAAAAAATAAAAAAAAAATTAAAAAATTAATGAGATAAAATGTCACATTTAAGTTATAATCATTTTATTTTTTTCTCTTATAAAAGTAAAAAAACTCATTCTAAATGAGGCTTTTTAATCCAGACTAAAATAGTTAAAAAGTCAATCCACTCCTTAAACAAAGGCTTATAGAAGGATTGAAATGTAATAAAAGAAAAATTAAAATTAAAGAATATAATGAGTTGGATTAGTGGTGTAAGTAATTTTTTTTTTTAAAAATTATATTTTCTCTCAAACACATACAGTCGTGCTAGGGAGCTCGAATCTGAGCTCCCCGAATCCCCTTAATCCCAGAAACGATGTCGTTTTTGCATTTTTTTTTCTTTTTTTCTGGTTGAATCAGAAACGAAGAAGATGAAGAAGGAAGAAGGAAGAAGGAAGAAGGAGAAGAGAAGGAAGGAGGAGGAAGAGGGAGGAGGACTGGAGGGGGCCCTAATTACAGGGGGAGGAGGAGGCGGAGGCGAGGCAGAGGCGGGGGCTGTCGGAGACGACGATCGGGCTGCGGAGACGATGATTGGGCAGAGACGGGGGCTGCCGGAGACGACGATCGGGCAGAGGCGGGGGCTGCCGAAGACGACGATCGGGCGAGGCGACGCCGGGTGACGCTGCGATGAGCTGCTGCGAGGACGCCGGGCGACGATCGGGCGGCGACTGCGAGCCCTCTTCCCCTCTCTTCTCTCTCTCTCTCTCTCCCTCCTGAATTTCGGGGCATTCGGGGGGAGGGGTTTCGAGCTCCCAAGCTTTATTCATAAATAAAATTTAAAAAAAAATTAATGAAACATATTTTTAAAAAAACCCAAAAAAAAAAAAAAAAAAACACTAAAATAGCCACCATCTCAATTCAGCACTCAAAAACAATCAAAACAACATTTGTACGCGTATTGTCCGTGTAATTAACAAAACAAAACAAAAGTGGTTAAAAAATAGCAGACGGAGCAACCCAAAAAAAGCCTCTTCGAACCTTCCGGTATATTCCCATTTTTCTCTCCTTCTTCTTCTTCTTCTTCTTCAAAACGCGTCATTTTTCGTATCCCCAAATCCCAGAATCGGAGAGCACAATCATCAATGGCGACAACAATGACCACCACCACAACCCTAACCCTACATCATTCCTCTCCATCCCCTTCCTCTGCTCCCCAACACCAACAACAGCAATCGCAAACCCTCACTCTGCGACTCAATCGCAGGAAGAAGAAGGTGACATGGAAGGAAGGCACCGTCGACAACGAGTTCCTCCAGAAGAAAAGCTCCAAGAAATGCTGCATCTTTCACAAGGACAAGCCCTTCGACGAAGACGACTCCGACGATGATCCCAACGATGGCCACGATCATGATCATCCCGATGCTTGCTCTTCAACCAGTAATGGACGAAAGTGAATTCCCAAGATTTTTATGAATTTATTGCATACAAGTTTAAATTTCAATTCCCCCCCAAATTTGGGGCTTCAATAGTTTTGCAACTGTTACTTTTTCGTTTTTAAACTCTTTACAATGTTTTAGAAGAGTTTATTATTGTTGATTTTGTGACTTATTTGAATGTTAGCTTGTATTTCTTCTTTGTATTTAGAAGATTCTGTTTGTTTATATTACTCAACCATTTGTTAAAGATTGTAAGCTCTGGTTATCTATAAAGTTTTTATTTTTTTTGGGCAAACTATAGGATATGATGTTAGTGGATTAGTAAGTTAGGTTATAATGATAGGGCCGACTCGAAACCTGAACTTCGGACTGTCCCAAGGGACAACTACATGGACCACTGGACCAACTGCCCTGTCCAACGAGCCATGGTATTCTCAAATTTTGCATTCCCAAATTGCCTTGCAACTGCCTCACTTTTTTATTTCAAATTTTTGTAATTTTTATTTTTTGATTCATGTAGATTTTTATTTTGTCAGTTGGTAAAGATCAAATGATTATGTTCTGGTGTAGTTGAAATGAAATGTAAATTAGTGAGCATCATAATTTTTCACAACTCAAGCCTTTGTCTGAATTATTTGAGGTTGGCTGCATCATAAATCTTATGGAACACAATAGCACAAACAAAAGGGGTTGAATACAAGTTATATTATTATAGTGTTTCCCGCTGTGGAGTTTATTTTGTGTTTCGTTTACACTGCATACATGTGATGGAAAAATGCGTAATGTTAGATGATCGTTTTGATCCATTGACAACTATGAGCTCATCAGTTATGTGACTACTATGTGCTCATCATTTATGTGAGCTCTGTTGTTTCCATGTGAATTTGATTATCAAACTAAAAGCAAATTTTGTTTTTTGTCAAGGTAAATGTTCTCATCGCTGGTCTTGATTTCAAGATCACAATGTTCTCATTGAGAATTGGCAATTTGGCATGCAAATAATGTAAATTTATCTATAAACATTTAATTACACCCCTTTTTTTGAAAATTCTACATTTGTAGCAGCCCATTCTTTCCATTTGCCCATTGTCCATTGATGTAATTCATCAAGTATTGTTTTTCCTTTTATATTGTCTCAAATGTGGATGTGCTTAAGTTGAATTGAGGTGGGTAGCCCTGCAGGTGACTAAAATCTCAAGCATGCAAGTCTATTACCTGCAGGAGTGCATGGTTTGTGGTTGATGGATCACTTATTATGAGAAGGTCATGAATGCTCTGTTATTGAGTGGTCTTCATTGTCACATTTCTTTTGGAATCTTGGTAGCTTCTCAGCTTCCCAGAAGGTATTCATGTCTAATCTGGTCAAATTCCCTCTCTTTTAGTTATGTTTATGTATACGGTAGTGAATTTTATACAAGGAATTATGAAATCTTCGATGAATTATGAGCATCTTAGTTTATTGGATGGTCATGTTTGTTGTTGTGTTGCCCTTTCTTCTATTTTCATAAAAAACTTTATTTGTAATGTTGACTTTTATCAGAAAGTGTTGGCACAATGTTATTAGAAAACACTAACACCCTAGCGATTTATGTTTTCAAATGTAAGTTTCGAAACGTAGTACACTTCTGTTCCAAAACAGTGAATTTAGTGATCCAAAGCGATTTCATAATTTTTTTATTTTCTTTATTAAAAGTTCTCTTTAATAGGGAAAAAGTCAAATATAATGAACTAAAGCATTGATGAAGTGGAGGTTTTAGATTGATAAAATGTAAAACAATGGATCATAATGCTCATAGAACTTTGTTTTGAAGAAAAAATTTCGACATCAAGTTAAGAAGTTTACCCTTATCGTATCACATTTTACAGCATGTGGCTTACCATGTTTCCATTCTTGTTATTTACCCAAAAAAATGTTTCCATTCTTGTTGTTCATACTAGAACGATTTGCGTTCCAGGTAAATAGGGCAGGAGTAGCTGGAAATAACTTGAGAAAGGACTGAATTGTTCTTTTTGCCCCAGCTGGGGTTTGTTTCATCCAAGCAAAAGAGATGCTGAAACTCAGAGTGTTATTCAGCCTCTGATTTTGAATTTAAAAATAAAAAGCTCACTGGTAGATGGTTGGAGATACTTTCTTTTTCTTTTTAACTATAAAGAGATTATTATAATTTATATGTAAAATTTTATATCGTTGTGCTGCTGTGTGGAATGGGTGGGCTGTTGAAGTACATTTATTTTTTCTTAAATTGTGTCTATCCTTTCCGTATGATTCGTGTACAAGTAATAAACTGTATTTTATTTTCAAGAGAGATTAATTTCTATGGCTAAGTAGTATTTGTCATGGTCATGGAGCTGATGAATGGCCTGAAGGCCCTGAACTCACAGTGTTATCTGCTCTTTTCTTAGATTTTAATTTCTATGATATCCATGTTCTAGTGTATATGTATGTCTTATTTATTCTCATTCTTGCTCTGCTGACTGCATGAATGTGTTTGGGTTTGTGTTTTGAGATAAATTTTCAAAAAAAATTTTGGGCAGAGAGTTTAGAAATTTTTTTGGTTTGTTTGGTTGTATATTTTGAAAATAGTTTTGGAGTTTTAGAGTTTGGGATGATTTGATATTTTGTTTTAGTTGAGTAGATGTGTGTGGGAGAAAAAGTGATTGAGAAGGAGAGAGGAGAGAGAAAAAGTGATTGATTGATGTGTAGGAGAGAGCAATTTTGGAAAAAAATTTCAAAAAATTTGAATCAAACAAAATTTTAAAATTTTTTCTCAAAAATTGTATCTTGAGAATATTCCAGAACTGTGCATAGTAAGTCCTTCATATAGTTAATTGATCCCCAGATGATGCTTACCCATCCATATTATAGTTAGGGATCTGAAAGTCATTTGCTTGTCATTTACTCTGACCACTAGAAGAAACTTTAGACATAATGTCTGTCCACTTGTACATTCTCTATTGATTGCAAATTATAAATATATTGAATTGGTGACTTATTTATCACAACCTCGTAATCAAGCATGTATTATATCAAACTCTTAGCTGCTAACAATTTTGTATTCTTACAAAATAGGAACCAATGTAGCCATAGTAAAGAAGAATCCCAACAACTATTACCAAAATATGCGTATTAGCTTACTACCTAATGGTATCAAAGGGGTCAGGAAATCAGCCGACCACACAATTGAATGAATACACCAGAATATACCTAGGCTAAGCTTAACATGAATCATAATAATTTTGAATCGTGTTGCTTGATGGCTTGCCAACCTGTAAACAATCGATCGGAGGCATAGTGGGAGAGATCAACTCTCCAAAAGTCTGCCAGCAGAAGACATCATACATGTGGTACTGTTCTTGTAGTGGTTTTAGTTCTATGTCAGTCAGAGTGACATCCATGCAAGGTAGGCTGTCACTACATGCAAGGTGTACTGGTTTTACAGTATAAGTTCCTCGTATCTTTTCGTATGTGATTCCTGATAGGGCCACAGCAGATGTTTGGTTCTTGCATGTGCTTTTGTCACAATAGTATTGGTCAATTACGATTGGGAATTGGACTTCAGAAACTTGAACGTTTGAGAACATTACTCCTTGCACAGACCCTGACCCACCCTGCGAATACATTAGAACTAAGTGAGCATTTCAATTTTTGATTTTATCAAATTAGCCGTTTTGGACTAACTCAGATTATGATTCATAGTTTGAATTTTGATTACCACATAAATATTTAATTCTGTTGAGATCATGAGATACAGAATTGATCTTGGTGACTCAGAACCTATCTGAAAAGTCAAAACTCCCCTAGAATTTAGGGTTGGTTTGGAATATTTTAAATAAGTGTACTTTTTGACTTTTTATAAAAAGATGTGTAGAAAAATAGAGAGGAGATGTTGATTGATGTGACTCAAATCAGTGCACTTATGTTAAAAAGTGCACTTATATAATCAAGTTTTTTTTGCAATTTCTTAATTGTGAACGATGGACTTGCATGGTTTTGAGATTTTTTTTCTTAGTTCTATGGAACAAACTTGTTCAAATCACTTAGCAGTCTCATGTACATTTAGTAGTCAATTAGATGAACTGCACATGTTATCTTTACCTGCCATGTCTTTATCCTGACACCTGTCATTGTATTTTGTATACTGACATCTCGAACAGTAATGTTCGAAACGCAGGCCTTGGTGCCCTCCTTTCCTAGCCCTCCAATGCTAATTCCATGCCCAGGTCCACAGTTCACATTGTGTATGTATACATTAGAGCATCCAGTTTGTATAGAAACACAGTCATCTCCTGCACAAAGCATTGAAAATTTGAAACATGAGATCTCACTGCACTATATGGTTGTTGCGGACACCTTTTATCATTATCATCTATGTTATCGTAAACTGTTGTTCTTAATGCTAATGTTAGACTCTTTTGGCAGAAGAACACAAAAAGTAAAAGGAAGAAAGCAGATGGTCCTTGATGCTAGAGAAGACGAAAACAAAAACTGAATGAGGACAAAAGGGAACGTGCTCCTGTCTGCGGGGTTTGTGGGTTAAAACCTAATCCCATGCTGGATTGTTCATTGATGACACGTGTCTATTGCCACATGTCAAAATATTAGTTGTTGGGCTTCAATGGTGTGGTGGGCATAGGGCGACAAGAAGGATAAGCTTGTAGCATGATCTGGTGAGAGGAGTTTGTCCCAGATATGTCAATTTTATGAGGTCTGTTGTCCAATAGCATTGTCATCAAATGGACCACTAGGTGTTTGGTGGTTGAGACCATCTAACCTCAATCCTGGACCTGTAACTCTTGGAATATGGATTTGCTGAATTTGGAGTTTCGGCTTTAGTGAAAAGTTTTAGTTTGTACCAATTTGAAAAATAACTACCCGCTTTATTGCACAAAGAAAATTACCGCAAGCAAGATTAGAATTGCGGATTACAACATTCTGAGAGTTCTGCAAGTGGATGCCATCGGTGTTAGGGCTGTCACCGGGAGATGCGGCTTTCATGTTGAAGACTGAAACACCTACGCAGTTGTCAAACTTGAGGTGGCACTGAGGACTGTTTTGAATCGTTATGCCTGCGACAGTCACGTTGAAGCTCCCGTAGAATCTCAGTGCCTGTGGAGCCAAAAGTAACAATTATTAATGTTTTTGCAATGGTTGAGAAAGAAAGCACATCAGATTTCACAGGTGGTCCATACAGTTGGTTTAATACTCGGCATGTTCCCACTTAGCGAATTGCTTATCTGCCACAGATTTGTTAAAACAACATTTGGGGTCAGGCTTTTGGATAACGCTGAAACTAGACGTGGACACAGAAATGATGAGGTAGGAGGAGTAGAAAATTACCGGAATTGTTGGGTTTTCTTCTATAGAGTTGTTTAATGGGATAATAGATAGTGCTGATTCATATCCGGCTATGGAGGAATTGTATGGGGAATCTTGCCACCAGACCGAGCCTCTTCCATCGATGGTTCCCGATCCTTGAACTGTGATTCCTACTAGTTTTGTAAACTGGAGCCATTGGAAGAGACCCGCACCCCAAGCTTTGGAGCTCGTCGGAGCAATAATGGTGCCTTCAAGCTGAAAAAATACCCAAAAAAAAAAATATTTTTTTGCATGATGGGATGGAAAAACGAGAGGCGACGATGCTTAGAAGGTAAATTTGTGTGGGGGCGTAACAGGCCACACAACTGTAATTTTGAAGGCATTGAAGCATTGCGTCAAAAGCGTAAAGCAAAATTGAAACCCAAACTTATGATGTAAGATCAAAGTTCAATTTTCATGATCATTGGAGACTTAAGTGATCATCTATTTAGATCTTTCTTGTCGTAAGAGTTTGTTTGGCATTTTTTAAATAAACGTATTTATTTAGATGAATATATTTATTCAAGTCATATCACTTATTTATTTTTTTATGTATCTTTCAATAAAAAGTTAAAAATTGCATTTACGTCTCGTTTGAAAACATGTTATTTTAATAATTTTTTGATTTTTTAATTAAAATATGAGGTAAAAAAATAATATATTTATTATATTTTTTTGATTTTTTACAAAAAAAAAAATGCAAAATGTAGAGAAAAAAAAATATTAATTTTTTAATTTTTTTAGTAATTATTTAACTTTTAAATTAAAAAATTGAGTTATCACGTGAGAGTTGAGATAATCTCAAACAATTCTTATAAGACCAGGTAGAGTTTTAAAAAGGAAGGGTGTTGTTGGACTCGTGAGGTTCATCACAGGTCTTGTTTTGATAATTCGAATCGTGTAATGTATAGAATTTGTTGGGTATTATATTCTTGTAAAATATCATGTTAATCGGATATCGATAGTCATGTAATCAAATCAGTTTTGTATGAAAAAAATGGATAATGAAAAATAAACGATTTATAAAAATTTGATTTGATCACATAGTTATCGATATTCGATCAATATAATTTTTTATAATTATATAATAATTGACGAGTTCTACATATTAACGGTTCGATTTATTAAAATAAGACCCGTGTTACTCTTAATCTGATCACATTATGAAGGGAAGTATTCCCTTTTATAAATCGGCAGTATCAAAATCTTGAATTATGAAGGTAGTGGATATTATGTCATTTGATTTACCTGAAAGACAATGTTTGATTGGCAGTAGGGGCCAGAGAATGAGATGGGTCCCACAAGAAAAGTGAACTGTGATGGGACCATGACCGTTGATGCCTGCACTTTACAAGCAGCTGCCCATGTAGCTTGAAACGCCTGCGTTGCACCATATATTATTTTCATTGTCTAACCAAAATGTAGAATTTTATTAAATTTAAAGTAATAAAAAATCAAAAAACAGTTGTTAGTTTTTGTACACAATTATTGATTTGGAAAATCTTGACCAATAAACTGCCGTAACGAGAATCATTTGATGAGTGGGTCCCACGTGATTTTTGTTGTCCTGTATTTACTACTCTGGAATTTCTGTTTTCTTTTTCCTTATTTAGTAGTAATTTATTTTTGTTACATAACACAGACGTTTTGAAATTTAAAAGAAAATATAGTAAATTTTATAATTTTAATATAATTATATTGATACAATGATGTAAAAATATAAAAATAAAAAATAGATATTTTTTTTTTGTATAAAAAAGATAATAATATTAATTTTTAATCATATAACTATCAAATTATTGATAAGAAGAGACTGAGAGTGTTATATGAATTAAAATCTCAAAATATCTCAATATAATTATATCAAAATTATGAGATTTATTGTATTATTTTTTAAATTTCCAAAGAAGTCAAGTGTAATTTATCCATTTGTTCTTGTATTATTTTATTACAATATAATTTTATGTATTGGAATTTGTTTATTACTAATGCAGTAATTATTTGTGAAGAATATGCCATCACTTATGCTTTAGCTTCTTTTTTTTTTTTAGAAAATTACAAATCAACGGGCATTACAAAAAATAATTACAGATTCATGAAAAAATTTAAAATTTTAATTATTAATATTGAGAAATTTTTTTATGAATCCGTAACTATTTTTTGAAATGTTCACTGATTTGATATGTTTCTATTTTTGTTTTCAACTTATAAATTATAACATAATTCGTTTTCTTTGCATTTATTTTTTGCTCTTTAAAAAACAAAAACAATGAAAAGTTTAAACTTCAAATTGTTTTTATGCAAACAATTTTTGAAACAGCTCTGATTTTTTTTTTCCTTCAAAAAATGTAAATATAAAAGCAAAAATGATACTAAACAATCCAAAAGGAAGCTTCTATGTTGATACAACATTTTTCTCTCAATTCACTCGCGATTGTTAATTTGAATATTGACTTTTGAACAAAATTATATGATTTAAAAACTAACTTCCGAATGAAAATTTCTGGTTTTTGTTTGGAAAGTTTAGTTTGGAAGTTGATTCCAAATATATATATTTTTTAAAAAAGTGTGAATTGAGAAAAGGTGGTGTGTGGAAATAATACTTCCGAACATAATGAGAAAAATTTGACCATAATACCCTTTTAATAACGTGAACAGCCTACTACTCCGCTACACAAAATTTGACTATAATGCCCTTGTAATTGTGAATTCTATTATGCTATTTAGTTTGTGAACACATATAAAACAATTTGAAGGGTACCTTTGTGTCATCACCAGTTCCATCTCCCTTGGCTCCAAAATCTAGTACGTTAAAGACGGTGGAGGAAGTATCTTTTTTTGGTGCAGGAGCCGGGGATGGCGGTGATTTTGAAGAAGACGTGGGAGGAGGTCGCGGTGTTTTTGGAGGAGATGGAGGAGGAGAAGGTGGTGGCAGTGGTGGTGCTTTGTGTTTTAATTTACCGGCATTGCTATGGTGACTCTTTCCATTCTTGGACAGAGAAGCTGAGATAGCTCTGTTTTGCCTCCAATGTTTGCCTCTTCTGGCACTACAAGTTCCCATATGAGAAAACAAAACCAACAAGGCAATGAATAGCATAAATGTGAGGCTTCTCAAACTAAGTCCTCTCATCTTCATTGTTTTCAGAGAGAGAGAGAGAGAGAGAGAGTTGGTTGGAACCTTAGATAGCTAAAAGAAGGAATGGTTAGGAGTTAAATAGGAAGAATACAATGGGACTGTAGAACCACAAGCTGAGGATTTACCTATAATGAAAGGCATTTTTGTTTCATTCTATTATGCTAGCCTGTTTTCCCCCCCTCTTTTTATTAATGATTTTCCTTCTTTGTTTGTGATTATTTAGTTGGGACTTGGGATTTTTTTAGCTCATCTAGGGACCCATTATTTGCCACGTGGCAATATGTAGTTGCATGAGACTCATCCACTTGCTCATGCAAAAATGTCGACTATATCATTTGGAAATTGATGATCTTCTAGATTTTTCTTATAGAATGAATTATAACAATGATGTGACAAAGTGTTTATTGAGTAACCTCGAAAAATTTATATGATGCATTGTTTATGTAGTGTTTCAAAGTAGTAATTAGTAGAAAATTTAATGGGTATTTTTGTTGGGTGGTTAAAAGACAAATAATAATTCATTTAGTATGTGTTATAATTTTTTATTTATTGAGAGTATCATGTATATAATGTCATATAATATTTTTTGAGTATTTAATATTTTTTTTGATGTCAAAAGTTTTATTTTTTATATAAAAAAACATATTGATTTTTTTTAGGTGATAAATTCAAAATTCTACCAAATCATTCTATATATATATATATATGCTAGGATAAATTATAAATATACTCTTTAAGGTTTGCTTAAAATAGGAATTGCCCCTTATAATTTTAAAAATTACATCATATCCCTTGAAGTTTCTAATTGCATAACAAGTCCAAAACCACAAAGGGCAATTTATATTTTAAGTAAACCTCCGGAGATGTATTTGTAATTTGCCCTATCATTTGTCTATAACTAGAATTACAATCCATATTTGGGCAAATTATAACTGTGATTTCGTAATTTGTCTCTTATGTCTATTTGATCATTGTAATTCTTATTATATTAGCACTGTTTTTTTGGACCCAATATTGATTCAAAATTAGAACTCTTTTTTTCTCTCTCTAAATTTTCCTCCAAGGGAAGAGGAAGACGACAATAGTTCTCCTACTTCTCTGATCTCCTTCTTCTCTCATTCTTTCTGATCTTCCTTTAGATTTGATGTTTGCCTCACTAGACCAAATATCTCCACCTTATCTTCTCCATCTTCGAGCCCAAAACTTTAAGATTTGGCTTCAAATCTTTTCACAGTTCGAAGACCAATGCTGAATAACGCATTTGCTTTATGCTAGGCGACCACCTCAACCTCAATGTTTTATCTTAACTTGACCAGCGGAGGTGGGGTCTTCAGATTCCAAATTGAAGGTTTGGATGAATTCGACGATGACTTAGATTTGATTTTTTTATTTTTTTTTAATTAATTTTTAGCTTCTTGATATAATTTTGCTTGGTTTGTTTCTCTCTCATGTGAGAGCATTTTCCTTTATGGAATCCTGGATCTTTTGTTTGTCAGAATTTTTTATTTAACAGAATTAAGAGAAAAATATATAACTTTTAACTATTCTTCTATATAATAATAAAAAATGTTAATTAAAATATATTTTTGGCATATTATTCTCCTGGTTATTAAAGCTAAAACATGCAAAAGATGACAAATTGAGCTCCAAAATAAACCCATTTAATTAAAATGAAAAAAATTATCTTTCAAAATAACAATTTGTCTTTTTCTTCAAATAATTTTGTTAATCATGATCTTACAACTAAAACAAAACAATCTTTAAACCTAATGCAACGCTATCCTACTAATAGATTTCTGAATAATTTTTTCAATCCGATCTTTTATCTATTGTGTAATAAAAATTTTCTTTCCGGTCTTAAAAAAAAATTCAAAATTAATTGAGGTGACAACATTTCATTAGAAAATCATCTGTCCCATTTTATCTCAATCCAATGATAACGCAGCATTTTAGTCACTTACAGCACAATAAAAAAAGATACTAGTCTGTAGATATACATGGGTCATGCTATGTACATAACTTCAAACACATCTATCACTTAATATATCTGTTATGAATAGTTAATTCATTTTCCGTAATAATTAAAAAGATAAAAAAACCATAAATAAATACCACATAGGGTATTACAAAAAGATCTTTTGAATCATAATCAAAATAATATTATAATCAACAATATAATGAGTCATTATTAACAATACAATGAGTCATAATTAAATCATAGCTAATATTACAATATGTCATAAATAAAGACAACAAAAGGCGTAAATCAGCTATATATAATTCTCTATTACTTTATATGTGTCTATTTGCATAGTATATTATTTTTTATAAAAAAATAATGGATTAATTACTATTTTTACTCTTATAATTTGATCCAAATTTCACTTTAGTTCTTACTCTTTTAATTTGAACAATTTAGACATTACACCTTAAGTTCAATTTTAATTTGATCATTCCATTTAAATTTTTTTAATTTTATTTATACGTTTACACCTTAAAAAAATTGATAAGTGTCTCAAAAATGTTAATTTTGATCTCCAATTTAATGGAATGACTTAATTGAAACTACACTTAAAGTGTAGAGATCAAATTGTTCAATTTAAAATTATAAGAAGGTAGATTTAGATTAAATTATAGGAATAAAAAGTGTAATCAACCCAAAAATTATCCCTTCATAGAGTTCATTAGAAAAAAGAAAAAAAAAAAGAAAAGAAGAAGATTTAATATATATATTTGGAAACAACATTACACCTACACAATTTCTTCCTTACAAATCCCCCTGAATGACATGACAAACTTTTTTGAAAAGTTTTGAGAGAAGAGCGGAATGTAAGAGCGCAAGTTGTCAATTTATCTTTTTTTTACCACGTCATTTAGAAAATTTGTAAAAAAAAATTATGTGAATGAAATATTTTTTATTTGGAAAGTAGTCAATATTTAGGGGATGCCATATCCATATCTGCTTCTTCTCTGGCTTTTTTTCTATGGTTTCAATATATTTGAAAATTTATTGATTAGTGAATTTGTTAAAGAATTTTCAAATAAAAGCCAAAAAGACACACGTGACGTGGAGGGCAATTGATTACAACAGCTCTCGTTATGATCACATGCAACCTTCACGGGCTTTAATTATTCTTTGTACTTTGTCTTCTTAACCCATCAACAATGAAGCAACCTTTAATTATTCTTTGTACTTTGTCTTCTTAACCCATCAACAATGAAGCAACTATTTTATTTGATGTGACCATTGTCGCATTTTTTTTTTTAATAGTAAATCATAATAATATTTTTTAAACTATATAGCTCATATACTTCATGAATTTTAAAATTTAATAGTTAATCACATCAAATTATTATCTTGTTATATTTAACATTTTTTGTTAAATATTTAAACAGAATTAGACCATTTGTAAAACAAATGGCATGTTTATTAATTTTTTAAAACAATAATTATCTTATCTTAGTGCAAACTACAAACAAATTACTAGATAAGAGCATTATTATTTTAAAATTTTAATAAATGTATTATTTGTGTAAATTCCTAACAAAATCATAATGAAGGGGATTAAATATAACAAAATAATACTTTAAAGAGGTTAATTGTATTGAGTTTAAAAGTTTAGGGGGCAAAGTGCAAATTAGTCATAGTTTAAGAAAGTTTAGTGTGATTTATCTACTTTTTTTTGTTATAAAAAATATCCTTTCACTTTTAAAACCAGTCATATTCAATAACTGTTGAATTATTTTTCTCAACCTTCAAACTATTTAAAAATATTATACGATGTTTTTCATTCATCAGACCGCCACTCAATCATCAAATCATCTGAAAATTTAAATATATAGAGACTGGGGGTAGAGACAGACTAAAATGTTGACCTACCAGGGTAATGGTTTTCAGAACTTTGAAGTTTTCTGTGACTAAACAGAAATTTTAGATAGAAAATCCATACTGTGCATTAAAAAGCAACAAGAAAAATGATATGGAAGAATCAAAGAAACCTCTATGCGCCCACAGATTTCAACTTACACACATATATACAAAACTGCAAGCATCAAAGTGTCCAATCCTCATTAATTTTGCTTCACAATAATTTATCAAAAAAGTTTCAAAGAAATGAAATGAAACACCCCTCTTAGGTTACCTATGTATTTGATGGATAGCTTTAAGAATTTTAAAAAAAAATTGCTATAGCACTCAAAATTTTCTTAGAGCTTATTTAAAAATAATGTACCAATAATATATTTATAAATTACGATCATAATGATATGCCTTATATTTTTAAATGAGATAATAATTTCTCTCCAACCTACGTATGTGTTAAGAGTTTAATAGGAATTTTCAAATTGTGACATTTTGATCGTTTTTCAAATTGAAAGTTCAAAAATTTTGTTTATTCTGTTAAAACTCTTGTATTATTGATTGATGTAGATTACAAGATTCGTATGTGTTAAGAGTTTAATAGGAATTTTCAAATTGTGACATTTTGATCGTTTTTCAAATTGAAAGTTCAAAAATTTTGTTTATTCATTGACCTATTTAATATTGGGTTATATATATATATATATATTTAATTACATCCAATATTACACTGGTATGCGGGTATTTAAATTGTAATTATATATCACACTCTAATTAATAATTCTTTGTTTAGATCCGTGATTTAGAATAAGACAACAAAAGAGAGATAGAACGCCGGCCTCCTCCAAAGCTACATGCTCTAGGGAGCCTTCTGCTATCTTATGACATGACATGAAATCATCTATATGTTCATAACAACAACAAAATGGAAAAAGAAAAATATGAAGTGTAATGTGACATTAATTATTATTGTTAGTAATTAAAAAAAAAAAAGAAGGTGTAATCTGACATTATTTTTTTCAGTTGTGACTTTACATTCCAGCCATGTCTGTCCCTACCACTTTGACCTTCTCTTATCCGTCCCTTTCCTTCCACAACCCACTCTCTCTCTCTCTCTCTCTCTCTCCCATTTGTAATGGGTTAGCATTAGCAGTGATAATAGATTATGTTGAAGTTAACAGTAAATACATGCCTGAACTCATATTCAAATGTACTTAGAAAGTAAATCGTACATGGAATAAAACATATATCCATTCTTATGTTTGGATATCAATAAAGGAAAAGAAATGTACAATGTTATAGAA